GGCTGGGAATCTATGTACAGAAAACTAGTATATGCACAAAAAATGTGAACATTTTCATGAAGACTTTAATTGTCACAATTTATAATGACTCACAATTTAGAACGAGGCATCAGAGAATGATTATTTAGGGGTGAAATTATTCACAGCCATGAATTAACTAGGGGGAAGACATGCTAGTACAATCAAAATCAGAGATCTGGAAATCCTGCTTCTGACTTCCATGCTCTTGCTGACTGCTTAATGATTAGTTTTGATTAGTACTTAAAAAAGGACCAAATTGTGAGTATCTTCTTTGGCAAAGTTTTTGTGATTTTTAAAAAAAATTTTTGGGGTGTCACACTCTGCGATGCACAGGGGTTACTCCTGGCTCTGCACTCAGGAATTACTCCTGGTGGTGCTCGGGGGATCATATAGGATGCCGGGAATTGAACCCAGGTTTGACTGCATGCAAGGCAAATGCTCTACCCACTGTGCTATTGTTCCAGCCCCAAAGGTTTGTGATTTAAGCCTTTGAACTCAATGGTTAATGACATACTGAAGAATTGAAGATGAGGCATATATAGGTGTGTGTGTATGTGTGTGTATTGTATATTTGACTTTTTGGTCACACCTGGTGGTCAGGGTTTTCTCCTAGCTCTGCACTCAGAGATCATGCCTGGGGGGCTTGGGGGACCATGTGTGGTGCTGGGGATTGAACCCTGGTCAGCTGTCTGCAAGACAAATGCCCTACCCTTTGTACTATCTCTCTGATCCAAGTTATACTTTTTGATTTTAACTTTTCTTACCTGAACAGGTAACATAAAGTTAGTTCGACAAGATCAACCAGAGCAGAAAGACTTGGAAACTGACAGCCAGTCTGGACTTCCTGGAGACATATGCTCTGATGACTTACTCTGAATTAATTATTAGATTTCTGTTGAGCTGTTAGTTCTTCTTCTGATAGCAAAATGACAGGCTGTGATTTCTGAGTTATTTCACACTAGCCTGGAAGTTACGAGGGAGGCTGGAAGCATGCTTGACTGACTTCCCACCCTGGAATCAACACTGCATTTTGGTTGATGAAGCGGGCCATCCAAGCCACTTAACAGCTATAATTCAATCCAGAGATTGGAGATTTTCTCCTGAGTTCTCATGGATAGATATTCCAAGAATATTTATGAGCTAGAACCGAAACCTTAGAAAAACTGTGAAACCATGCAGGATGGTATATTTATGGATGATATTGAATAAAATTTGCCTTGATAAATAAAAATCATTTCAGTGTGATAAAATATTTTTTAAAACTGCTGGGCTATTTTCAAGCAGAAGCAGTGTTGTAGGAAAATTTCATTTTGAACATTAAGCAATCTGTCATCCTATCTTAAAAAAAGTACTTCCTTAATACTGATTTTTAAAGTTTTGAAGGAAAATGGAGGAGATTGTCCATTTACCACCCACTGAAATACTCCATGTGCTCATCTCTCTTACCCCCAATTCACCCCCACAGAAGAGAGCTGATCTGTTTCTGCACCTTCCATCATATGACCATACTATCCTCCATCTTTTTCTTGCCTGCCGAAACTAAAAATCCTCCCAGACCGAATGTCTTAAACTACCCAGTGAAACAAAACCCATTAATCACAAGGTTAACAGAGAGATTCTGGGTCTTCAGTCATAGACAGACCACCTACCATTTACCCATCACATTCTTGAGAGAAGTTCAGTGAATTTTGTCCCAGTACACCTCTGTACCATTGGGGTTTGCTTTTTGCTTTTTGGGGTCACACCCGGCAATGCGCAGGGGTCACTCCTGGCTCTGCGCTCAGGGGACCAAATGGGATGCTGGGAATCGAACCCGGGTCGTCCGCGTGCAAGGCAAACGCCCTTCCTGCTGTGCTATCGCTCCAGCCCCATACCATTGGTTTTGATGACTGCATAGTATTTGTTTGTACACATGTATTATTATTATATAGGTAACCAATGCCTCAATTTATTTGGGAGCAAGGAGAGGAGATGAAACTCAGGAGCTATTTCTGACTCTGTGCTCAAAAGTGACCTCTGGTGGTGCTTAGGGGAGCATATTCTTGGTGCCAGGGATCAACCCAGTGTTGGCCAATGCAGCCAAATTCGAGGTAAGGGTCCCACCTTCTGCACCTTCTCTCTGGCCCCAATTTTGAACAGTTACGCTACATACTGAATGCCCTTTGTGGGCCAAATCTTTTTTTTTTTTTGCTTTTTGGGCCACACCCAGCAACGCACAGGGGTTCCTCCTGGCTCTGCGCTCAGGAATTACCCCTGGCGGTGCTCAGGGGACCATATGGGATGCTGGGAATCGAACCCAAGTTGGCCGCGTGCAAGGCAAATGCCCTACCCGCTGTGCTATTGCTCCAGCACCAGGGCCAAATCTTTTTACTCACCAATCCACGTATTGTTTCACAGATTGTGCAACTGTGTGAAAGGCAAATTTTTTACATAAAGTCCCCAAATTTTATTTTATCAGAAAAGGCCACATGTTGATTCTGAAACAAGACTTGGAAAAAGTTGTGATTTGCTCCTGTCACAAAAAAATAAATGCACTTTAAAAAATGGTGTTAGTTTCCTGTGGCTGTCATAACAAATGACCAAAAACTAGTTGACTGAAAAGAACAGAAACGCATTGTCTCACAGTTCTGGAATCCAGATTTCTGAATCCAAGCCATCAGCTTGACTCCCTCCAAAGTCTCCAGGGGAAGATCATTCTTTGCCTCTTCCAGCCTCTGCTGACTTCATGCAACACTGGCTGAGTTCCTTTCACCATTGTCTCCATGTTCATAAGACCTCTTCTGGATTTGTGTCTTCCCTTCAGCCTTTTCTACGGACAGTTATTATCTTTGTATTTAGGGCCCACCTAGATAATCAACAATCATCTCATCTTAATATCCTTAAAATGATCCACTAAAGATTCCAGTGACATCCACAGGCTCTGGGGGTTAGGAAGTGCACATGACATTGTCATACCGTGGGGGTTCAGCCTCCTCTAAACCTCCTCTAAGGACAATTGTCTTTGTAGTTAGGGCCCATTTGGATAATCATCAGTCGTCTCATCTTAAGATCCTTAACATGTCCACAAAGAACTTTTGCCCCAGTTGTCACATCCACAGGCTCTGGGACTTAAGATGCACACAAAACAATACCATTGCTTACCACTCCTGGGAATATATCCCAGAGAGGCAAAAATGTATAGTCGAAGTGACATCTGCACTTGTTTGTTCATTGCAGCACTCTTTACAATAGCCAGAAACTGGAAGAAACCTGAATGCCCAAGAACAGATGACTGGTTAAAGAAACTTTGGTACATCTACACAATGGAGTACTATGTAGCTCTTAGAAAAGATGAAGTCATGAAATTTACATACAAGTGGTACAATATGGAAAGTATCATGCTAAGCGAAATGAGTCAGAAAGAGAGGGATAGACATAGAAAGATTGCATTCATCTGGGGGATATAAAGTAACAAAGTATGAGATTAATACCCAAGAATAGCTGAGATCAGCACCAGGAGGATACTCCATAACTTAGAGGCCAGCCGGGTATCCTAGAGGAAAGGGCAGTTCAGATTGAGAAGGGAGCACCAAATAAAGGATGTTTGGAGGATCCTCCCAGGAGGGGAGATGCATGTCGAAAGTAGACTATGGACTGAACATGTTTGCCACTTAATGCCTCTTTTGCAGACCACAACACACAAAAGGAGAGAGAGAACACAGGGGATGGCCCTGCCACAGAGACAGGGGGGATGGGGGGATGGGGGCGGGAGGGATATTATCCCTGGTGGTGGAAAATGGGCACTGGTGGAGGGATGGGTATCTGATCATTGTATAATTGAAACCAAAGCACAAAAAATTGTAAATCTACAACTTTAAAAAAAATAAAATAAAATAAAGGGGAAAAAAATAAAATAAAATAAAAGTTTCAAGAAAAAAAATAGCTTTGCAAATATCACTCAACCTTACCCTTGTCAAATCTAATTTTCAAATATTTGTTATAAAATGAACCACTGAAAATGGTTGGTGTATTGATAACATTTGTGTTGTTCCAAAATTAGCCTTGCCTTTTACAGTAAGACTTCTTTGAATTATTTGTCCCATCTAAAAGGTGTCATTCACCACAACACCCAAAAGGAGAGAGAGAACAAAAGGGAATGCCCTGTCACAGAGGCAGGGTGGGATGGGGGGATGGGTGTGGGAGGGATACTGGGATCCATGGTGGTGGAAAATGGACACTGGTGGAGGGATGGGTACTTGATCATTGTATAATCGAAACCAAAGCACAACAATTTGTAAATTTACAAGTGTACCTCATGGTGTTCCACTAATAAAAAAAAATAAAATAAAAAAAAAAAACAATACCATTGCTCAGATATTGCATTGAAATATATATATATTTTGCTTTTTGGGTCACATCTGACGATGCACAGGGGTTACTCCTGGATCTGCACTCAGGAATCACTCTTGGCGGTGCTCAGAGGACCATATGGGATGCTGGGAATCGAACCCAGGTTGGCCGCAAGCAAGGCAAACACCCTACTCGCTGTACTATCGCTCCAGCCCCGTATTGAAATTTTTTTTTTTTGCTTTTTGGGTCACATCCGGCGATGCTCAGGGGTTACTCCTGGCTCATGCACTCAGGAATTGCTCCTGGCGGTGCTCAGGGGACCATATGGGGTGCTGGGAATCGAACCTGTGTTGGCCATTTTGGCTGCGTGCAAGGCAAACGCCCTACCCACTGTGCTATCGCTCCAGCCCCTTTATTGAAATATTTTGAGGAATAAGTAATTCTTCTGGTCCAATCAAAATTGAGCAGAAGATGAATCAAAAGCACTACCTGATACTGTTTTTCCTTAATATTAGAATGCATTTGAATATCATTTCTCCTTTTCAGCTCTATTGGCATTTGTAACAAGTAGTCATCTAGCGCATCAATGTACACTAAAACTTGAGTAACTTGCTGTTAAACCAGTGTTTGGGTTTGGTTTGATTTTTTAGCGGGCATCTCGGTCGATGTTGGAACGATCTGAACAGCAGATCAGGGCGGCCTCTGGTTTGGAGGAACTGCTTCGGATCACACATTTTGAAGACTGGAAACTGTGGCGATGCCGACTGAAGCTGAAAAGTTTTGCCAGCACAGACTCACGCTCAGCGTCCCATCGGTCCACTAGGTTTGCAGCAACTTTCTATGACATCGAGACTCTAAAAAGTAAGTGTGTGTGTGTGTGTGTGTGTGCGCGCACACGCGCATGCATGTGTGTGTTTGTGTATGTGGGGGTGGGAGGGCTTCTTGCACTTTATCATATAGTTAAAAATGCCCCCATTTCTTCCACAAGTTTCAGTAGGATCCTGAAAATATGAGATAAAAGGAAAAGAGTCCTCCAACTTCAGGATTTTGATGGGTGGTTTCCTGTGTTTGCCCCATAGAAAAATATGTTTATATGATTTGGAGGTCAAACGCCAGTCCAAAAGAACATTTTGCAATGAATACATATATTTTAATTCAGTGATGCAAAAGAGACACAGAAAAACTGATCTTAATAGAAAACAACCATTTGTTTACTTAAAAAATTCAGCAGCCTGGGTCCGAAGTGATAGTACAGTGGGTAGTAGGGCGTTTGCCTTGCACACGGCTGACCCGGGTTCGATTCCCAGCATCCCATATGGTCCCCTGAGCACCGCCAGGAGTAACTCCTGAATGCAGAGCCAGGAGTAACCCCTGTGCATCGCCAGGTGCAAAAAAAAAAAAATTCAACAGCCTGGGGCTAGAGTTATAGTACAGCGGGTAAGGCGTTTGCCTTGCACACAACTGACCAGGGTTTGGGACCTGGCATCCAATATGGTCACTTGAGCACCGCCAGGAGTGATTCCTGAGTGCAGAGCCAGGACTAACCCCTGAGCATCACCGGTGTGAACCAAAAAGCCAAAAAAAAAAATCAACAACCTGAGAATTCATCAACAAACATTCTACAGCCATACAGATGAGCAGAAATTAGTAAATTAGGTATAACTTTTTTTATTTCTTCAAAATTGTGCTTTTCAGTAAAAATGAAAAGTAGAAGTTGGAAGCTTAGTTGTAACAATGCATATTGCCAATACTAGATGAATAATGAAGGGGCAATTTTACCTGACAAAAGACTCCAAACTCCATTGTAGAAAATAACATAATATGAAAGAAAGTCAGTGATTGTTCCCTAGTAAGGCTTAGAACTTCTTTTTAGGAAAAGTATCACGTATATTGTGCTGTGAGGGATAAAATGCTTACTTAATATGATTGTGTGGCCTCTAATTTGGCATTCACATTTTGTTTGTTTTGCAAGCCACGCCTGGCGATGCTCAAGATTTACTATTGGCTCTGTGCTCGGGGATCACTCCTGGCAGTGCTCGGGGAACCATATGGGGTGCTGGGGATCGAACCTGGGTCACTGCATGCAAGGCAAATTCCTTATCCACTATACTATGTCTCCCGCCCCTAGACATTAACTTTTTTGATGACATGCTAAAACAACATGAGAAGTCACTGTGACATTGTTGATTACACAAATGTATGATTACCTGGTACAGATGAATCCCAGTCATGTGCTACTTAAGGACAGGGACAGTTCTGAGAAATGCAGTTAGGCGATTTCACTGGGGTTTGCATGCCTTACCGTGCAAGTGCACAAACCTGAATGACCCAGCCTCTTACAAGCTTAGTGGCAATTTAGAATCTGTTGGGACCACTGTTGTCCATGTGGTCTGCCACTGATTAAAATATCCCTAAGTGGAGCTGGAGCGATAGCACAGCAGGTAGGGTGATTGCCTTGCATGCGGCCAACCTGGGTTCAATTCCCAGCATCCCATATGGTCCCCTGAGCACCTCCAGGAGTAATTCCTGAGTGCATGAGCCAGGAATAACCCCTGTGCATTGCCAGGTGTGATCCAAAAAGCCAAAAAAAAAAAATCCCTAAGTGACACATGAGTAGGTTTCCATTCTGTGATTAAAATGGATCCCTAAGCCAAAATGAGTTATTTTCCCCACCCAATCTGTAAAGTATGGTGATGATATAGGAGGTGGTGGCTATTGGGACATCTGTGTATTGGCAGGGAGAGTCCCTCAGCAGCACAGTGGGCATGAGCATGCAGAAGACTCCCTGTGCTCCCGTGTTTGACCGTGTGTCTAAATGAGTTGAGATGTTTAGAGTCATAGTCTAGAACCCACTAGAGCCAGAGGTCTGAAGGTCCAGCTGTCTCAGTGCAGTGAATTAGCAAGGACTTCCTGAAAGGAAAGGGCGCATATCTCACCTGTATCTTCAAGGCTTAACCACATTGCTTGTGCGAGGCCTGATGTGTGAGCCAGAAGACATTAGACAGATGGAGGCTAACTGGTTTTCCTATAAAAACCGTGAATTTTTTTGCTTTTTGGGGTCACACCTGGGGTTCCTCCTGGCTCTGCACTCAGGAGTTACTCCTGGCAGTGCTCAGGGGACTGTATGGGATGCTGGGAATCGACCGGAGTCGGCCACATGCAAGGCAAACGCCCTACTCACTGAGCTATTGCTCCAGCCCCGAAACTGATTTTTTAAAGGTGATTTTGACATTTTCTAGTGAGAACACTATAGGAGAATTTTAAATGTTTATCAGCATAAAAATATGAAATTTGCCAACTCTGAAATGATGTCTTGCTACAGAAAGGATCATCTTATGGCGTTTACTAAGCTAGAAGCAGGAAATAATCAAATTGTTGTGGTAAGGCAGTTATTTGTTTTGACCCCTCCCTCCTGGATTTCAGAGCAATTTGGACTGGGCAATAAAAATGTAGTGGAGTTATGAAACCTTTATTCAGTGCATCAGTCATAGTTCACCACAATCTTGATGAATATTTTGATTAATACCACCCCATTTTTCAAACATGGTTTTATACATTTTTTTAAGAAGCCAAGGGAAAGCAATATTTAAGCAGAATTTTAAACAAGGAGTATTTTCATAAGTTGATTACTTATTTTTTCAGAGATGAATTATTAATAATAGGAATTAAATAATACCCATATTAATGCCTAATTGGGTCATTTATCTTTCATGTTTATAGCCTTCCAGCCCTTTATATAAATATTCATAATCGGGAGTTTAGAAAGACTTCTTAGGATGAAATATTTTATTATGAAAAACAAAGTTTAGGCAAACTGTGTAGTGTACATAGTGTTTCTCAGAAGACCAAGCATCTTGCTTATTATCTTTTCAGTTATTGAATAATCAGCACAGGAGGAAAATTGAGATTTAGGGAAGAAAAGGAAATGGATATGAAAAAAAGTTTGTGTTTTTTTTTGGTTTGCTTTTGGGCTATGCCCAGTGGTGCTCAGGGGTCACTCCTGGCTCTGCACTCTGGGATCATTCCCTGCAGTGCTCGGAGGACTGTATGGGGTGCCGGGGATTGAACCCCGGTCAACTGTGTGCAAAGCCAGTATCCTACCTGCTGTACTATGTCTTCATAGCTCCCCCCCGAAAAATATGTGGTTTTTTTTTGTTTTTGCTTTTTGGGTCACACCCGGTGATGCACAGGGGTTCCTCCTGGCTCTGCACTCAGGAATTCTTCCTGGCGATGCTCAGCGGACCATATGGGATGCTGGGAATCGAACCCAGGTCTGCCGCATGCAAGCATGCAAGGCAAACTCCCTACCTACTGTGCTATTGCTCAAGCCCCCGAAAAAGATGTTTTTTAGGAATAATTTATAAACTAGGATCAGTTATCTAACAATAACTTTATGTCTACATATGCAAAAATTCAGAATCATCTGAAGAGGAACCAATACAATATTTGGAAGATAGGATAAAATTGGAGAAGAGTTTATCAATACTGCATAAATATTATCCCGGAACAACGTTTTTATATCAGCTTGTGTCAGTTAAAATGAAGATATGGCCAAATGGATGTCTCTTTAGGATTTCTGTGTGACTGCAGTCAAGTTTCAGGCAGCATGTCAAGGTTCAGTTGAGGCACGATGTGTTTCCACATTCACTCCATGGTTGTTGGCAGGCTCAGGTCCTCACAGGCTGTTGACCAGATACTGCCCACAATCCTATGCCATGTGGACCATTCCAACATGGCAGCTTGCTGCATTAAAGAGTGCAAGCTGAGATAGAGAGGGGACCAGGTAGAGGTGGATATTGTGGGCAAGCTGGAAGCCAGTCTTTTGAATCTAATCGTGAAAGGGATGTTCTATCACCTCTGCTGCATATTCTTCTCAAGAAGGTGGTCAGGGGAATGTGTGGGCTTCCTGATCAAGGGGGAAAAATGCCAGTCACAGGAGAAAGAATTCCATACGTGTGTAAACAGCCAGATGTGGGGTCTCTGGGAATCAGTTTTCTGTTTCTTTTTCAGTTGAGGTAAAATGAACCTCTCACATTATCACTGGGGGTCATTTTAGAAACTTGTCTACCACAAGACTCCCCCCCTAACATAGAATAAATTCTACCAGGTAGAAATTCTACCAGGTTAAAATGAAGATAAATAAATTCTCCGTGGCAAGCTCAAAGCATGTGTTTCTGCCAAACTTGAATCATTTCCCAAAACATCTGTAAATAGGCTCTACCACAGTAAGTACCAAAGTGTCAACAAGTAATCTTAAAAAATCAACTGTGAGGGGCTGGAATGATAGCACAGCAGGTAGGGCATTTGCGTTGCACGCGACTGAGCAGGGTTTGATTCCCAGCATCCCATATGGTCTCCTGAGCACTGCCAGGAGGAATTCCTGAGTGCAGAGCCAGGAGTAACCTCTGAGTATTGTTGGGTGTGACCCAAAAAGCTAAAAAAAATTAACTGAGAGATATGCAAGTACTATTTTATAAGAATAAGTATAATTTTCTTACGGTTCCAGATGCTTTTCCTTGTTTAACCTCAAATTAGCTAAAAAGCAGAGAAAATTGCTCCTTCCATAAAAATGAATGGTCTTATTTCCCCATTTTCTGCCATCATCAGTATCAGACCCTTGCAAATGAGATGACTCTCGCTTGAGGAAAGATTACTTCCACTTAAGTTTCCATTCATGCATTTTGCCTAGTTGGAATGCTACTCTAGATCCTTAAGTTACCACCAGAAATTTATTTCTCAGTGTGCTAAAGCATATGTCCACCTGGATTCTGGGAGAGTATTCCTTTAACTCCCTGATGAGTCAGGATCTCCAGATGTGCCCAGTTTCCTGATCCAGAGGCCACAGCGTTGTTCCCTAAAGGAAAAACAAGGCATTCTGTTCCATCAGCAGAGCATTCTGTTCCACATTCTGTTCCGTCATGGAGAAAACTCACAGATTGAGGTGGGGGGGTGCTTCTGGAAACCATCTGTGGTTTAGGGACTCACAAAAAGGACCGGCAAGTAAAAGAACCCAACCCTGTGGCTATGCGGGTGACTGTGGTCACGCTGGCCTGGGAGGGCCAGCTCATCTGTGGGTCTCTTTGAACCGCATCTCTGCAGTTATAGATGAGGAATGGCAGCGAACCCAGTGCAGCCCCCGGGAGACGTGTGTGGAGGTGGCCAGCGAGCTGGGGAGGAGCACCAACACGTTCTTCAAGCCTCCCTGTGTGAATGTGTTCCGGTGTGGTGGCTGCTGCAATGAAGAGAGCCTCGTCTGCATGAACACCAGCACCTCATATGTCTCCAAGCAGGTGTGTAGCGAGGGACCCTGTGCAAAGCCCAAGGGAGCTGAGGCTGGGGGGGTGACACTGAATGTTTCTTCTTGAGATCTCTGCCAAACCCTGCAATGTATGCTTCTGGGGTATTACTTTAGTGATTCCCCCAAACAAGCCCAAAGGTATCTCACCATCCTCCAGTGGAGATGAGGAAACTGAGGCTCCAGGGAGATAACTTGGGCAGAGTCTGGATTCAAATCAGCATCTTTACTTACCAACTACTCTCTGATGTCAAGAATGGAAGCTGGTGGAAAGTGCTAGAACGGACGGTGAAAGGAATAGAGAGAGCCCCACTATCTTGTGCATTCGTTACGTTGTGTGTTGTTTAAATGGTGTAGTGGGCCATAGTTGGATGAGGGGGTTGTCAGTGTTGGGGTGCAGGAAACACCATTGAAAGCCACAGGGGAGCAGAAAGAAGGAGCTGTTGCCGCCCTTCAACTGGAGAACTGGGGAGGGAACCCAGAAAGTAAGGAAGTGGGCTGCCGGACTAGGGTGAGGTAGTGGCCAGTGCCAATCCATATCCTGGCAAGCAATTGGTAGAGGGTGCAGGAAGGGAGAAGACACCTCAAGTGTAGTGCGTGGAGGTAACTGTCTGGGACACAGAGCCCGCTGGGGGATAAAAGAGAGAATATGGCATCTCTCCTGGGAAAATTAAGAACAAACACCCAGCACAGAAAAGCTGTGAAAAGAATTCCACAGTCCCATGGAAAAAAGTATGCCTTCCCTCTTCATCTTATAAAAGCCCTTTTGTGGGGCTGGAGTGATAGCACAGTGGATAGATTGTTTGCCTTGCATGTAGCCGACTCAGGTTCGATTCCCAGAATCCCATATGGTTTGATTCCCAGCATCCCATATGGTTCCCCAGCACCACTAGGAGTAATTCCTGAGTGCAGAGCCAGGAGTGGACCCTGTGCAACGCTGGGTGTGACCCAAATTGCAAAACAACAACAACAAAAAAAAAAAACAAAAAAACCCCTTTTGTTTCTTAGGGAACTTCTTCTTTCTGTCACTACTACCTTGTACAATGTAATAAAGACTGCACAGTAGAGCCATAATAACACACTTTGGAAAACATCTTCCAAATTTCTGAGTTAAACAGCATGGGTTTGGGTTCTACTTGGAACGCCCTTCCTGCCTTCCCTGTACATGTTGATATGTTCACTTAATTATTGTCACATTTGCCTAACACAGTCTGTTATCCTCAGGATTGGGAGGGAAAGAGGGAGGACGTCAAATTTAACATCCACAGATTGATCCATTTTTGGTGATTAACCTAACTGGATGGAAAGAATATAGGATTTGTTCAGGAATTGGTTAACTTGAATTTTGTTCCCCTAATCCCCTAAAATATCCCTTCAACTGAAGAACTTCTTTTTCTTAATCCTTTTTCAGAGAATCTTGGAACTTGTGAAATGTCTGACCTCTACTATTTGACAAGCAGGGAAAAAATAACCTAAGTTTGGCTAAGTATCAGCAGTTAGTGGAAACAAAACTTGTGTAACCTAAGGGGCCTTCGTTCACAGCCATGGTATTCCTTAGGGCATAGCTGAAAACTTTCGCAAGAAGATGAAGCTTATGCAAAGTAAACACTCTAAAAGCACTCTTTTGCTTAGACTCATGGAAGTTCCATTACTTATCGAAAGGTCAGAATAAACACAACTTTAATGGATCATTTCCACTTAATAGATAACTGCTTAATTTTTACTGCTATACTCAAACATGATTTGTTTGAAAGACTGTACTTAAGTGTAAGTATACAAAAGTATTTCTTTCTGAATGCACAGATTTGAACATTTTAATAGTGGTTTTTTAAAAAGCTACCTCTCATCCGAAAGTTGGGCATGATTTAATGCAACTTTTCTTAGAAATAACACAAATAAACTGAATACTCTGTGTAGAAAGAATTATATGGGATGGTTATTGAATAGAAATTAAAATTTAGTCCAAGTTCATTCATGCATCACCGTAGAACTAATTAATTGAAGTATCTCTAAATTCTAGGTTCCAAGATTCTATCTTTGCTGCTTTATGTCATAGTGGTTTTATTTCCAAAGGCAGTATGGAATTTTCTGGGGTTTATTTTGGCTTTTGGGTCATACTCAGCGATGCTCAGGGCTTACTCCTGGCTCTGCACTGAGGAATTACTCCTGGTGGTGCTCAGGGGACCCTATGGAAAGCCGGGGACTGAACCCGGGTCGGCCACATGCAAGGCGAATGCCCTACCCACTATGCTATCACTCTAGGCCCAGTATAGAATTTTCTTAACAACATTGTCTCCCAAGTTCATTCTAGTCTGGGACTGCCTATATCTTAACTTGAGATATATAATTCCTTTCTTTTATTTTATGTGGTTCCCCCATCACTTCTCTCTCCCCCCCTCCTCTCTCCCATCCTTCCTAGACAAAATTCTTTCATTTCACACACAGAAAAAAAGCAGTATGACCTTCAGCTCTAGAGTAGACTGCCTGAGTTCAAATCCTCACTTTTGCAACCAATCTTGCCCTAAGAAAGTTATAAAACCTCTCAATTCATCCTTTCTTCATTGGCAGAGTGAGCACAGAAGGTTAAAAATCCACCCCCTAATGTTACAGTGGATAAATAAACTGAATATAAAAATGCTTACGACACCAAACATGATTGCCACTCATTGCCTCTTTTGCAAATCACAATACCCAATAGGAGAGAGAGAACAAAAGGGAATGCCCTGCCACAGAGGCAGGGTGGGATGGGAGGGATACTGGGATCTGTGGCGATGGGAAATGGGCACTGGTGGAGGGATGGGTATTCGATCATTGTATAATTAAAACCCAAGCACAAAAATTTGTAAGTCTACAACTGTACCTCATGGTGTCTCACTAATAAAAATTAAAAAGAAAAGAGTACTGAAGTCTTGGAAAAGGTGATAAATATAGACATGTGTTTATAATAAAGTGTAATGAAGTAAAAAATGCTATGACAGGGCCTGGCATATAAAAACGTAAAAAGAATGGTGCTGCAATTATTTTTGGGAGCATGACGATCTTAGATCAATTGGCCATTATGATCAAATGCTGCATAGGAAACATGCTAAAACTCAGTGGCTGTCAACAACCAGGAGCTATTCTCATTCAGAAGTCTGATATGGGGGCTGGAGCGACAGCACAGTGGGTAGGGTGTTTGCCTTGCAAGCGACCGACCCAGGTTCATTCCCCGACATCCCATAGGGTTCCCCGAGCACTGCAAGGACTAGTTACTGAGTGCAGAGCCAGGACTAACCTCTGAGCATTTCTGGGTGTGACCCAAAAAGCAACCTCCCCCTCCCCCGCCAAAAAAAAAAATAGAAGTCTGATGTGCAGGTCTTTTAAAACGGGCCCAGTTGGGTGTGACTCCAGTTCCGATCTGATCTCTATGTCTCTTGATCCTTGGACCAGCAAGCCTGCTAGGTCATGCTCTTCACCTGCCTATAAGGTAAAGGTAAAGGTAAAGGCCCTCCCGTTGATCGTCGATTTGCTTGAGCGGGCCCAGTAACGTCTCCATTGGAGACTTTGTTGTTACTGTGTCTGGCATATCGAATACTCTCGGTAGCTTGTCGGGCTCTCCGAGAGGGGCGGAGGAATCGAACTCAGGTCGGCCATGTTGGCCGCTTTTAAGGCGAACACCCTACCGCTGTGCTATGGGTAGGTTAATAGCCTATAGCAGGTGAGAAATCCAGCCCCACAAAGCCCCGCATGTTGTCCATGTCTGCTAACATCCTGTTAACATGGCCAAGTCCAGACTCAAGGATCAGGAAACTATATTCCTCTAAGGGAGTTGATGTGGGAAAGGTTAAGTGAATAATAGTTCGGAGTAATTATCTATTTACTTTGGCATCAAAGAAATTTCCTAGCTATGTTTTACTTAATCTCTGCAATTCCCATTCAGATTCGAAGTGCAGGCAGAGGGACCAATACTTCCAGTTTACAAGGGTTACCATGACACCAGAAAGTTGGGAGATTTGACCACAGTAAAATTACTTGACAAAGTCGAAAAAGCCCCCTGATCTCCTGACTCCTAGTCCAGTACTCTTTCCATCCTGCCTGCTTTTATCCTTATTAGTTCTATTGTTGGTGGACAACATCACTAGGGCCATTACCATGAATAACAAATGTAAATCTGTAGACTATCGAAACCATTATTATTTTTAAAAGTTTCTTGTTTTATGGCTATCTTTCTCTACCCTAGCTCTTTGAGATATCAGTGCCTTTGACATCAGTGCCTGAATTAGTGCCCGTCAAAGTGGCCAACCACACAGGTTGTAAGTGTTTGCCGACAGCTCCGCGCCATCCATACTCCATTATCAGAAGATCCATCCAGATCCCAGAAGAAGATCTGTAAGCGTCTCTTGTGCTTAGTTATCCTTGCTATTGCCTTTGCCAATATGTTATGCAAAAAATGCTTCATTACTTTCTCTTCGAGTTTGTCACCTTTCAGCTTCTAACCCAAATCTACTGATCATAGCCATTTGTCAACATTTTAAATTAGGCATTAGAAGTTTATTAATGGCAGTAGTAGAAAGCGCAGTGGTTATGAACGTGGCATGTTTACTTATAGACATCTCTGCTCTACTCCAGCCTTTTATTTAATTCATGTTCCCTGATTCTAGAGCAAAGATAAAATAAAACTCATTTCAAGCTGCTTATATATTTAGGTCCCAAAACTAAGAGAGAACAAAGGTTCCCAGGGCCCATGGGGTGTGGTAGACCTCTCTGTATCCAAGTTTGACAATGTTCCACATTTCTTCTTATGATAAGCCAATGAGGAATTTTTATTTCAAATCAAAATGATTTCAAATTCATTTGACTTTGACATTTTCTTGAGTTTTGTTATGGGATAAATTCTGACAGCCCAAAGTGTGCTGAAATGAAAGGTAAGAATCATTTATTGGAAAACAACAGTTTTTATAAAGAGCAAAATCTCAGCACTGGATACAAATGCAAAATAACTATGTTGGATGCACAGATCTTACATAAATAAGGGAATAAAGACACTGGGCGAGCAGCAAGTGGAAGGGGGAGCTGGTGATTATGTTAGTTAACCTGGAACCAAAAAAGAGACGCCTGCCTGTCATGCAGTAAAGAAAGTTCCTGCAGGAGGAACCTTTATTCCCAAGATGTCCCAGCTCTCCTGACCAGTGTTCTCATATCTATTATCAAGAAGATAATGCTTAGGAGCTAAGATTGAGCAATCTTTACTTTTGTTAAATAAGCTCTATTGGCAACTAATTGGCATAACCAGTTAATGCCAATCATTATTTTATTACAGTGCCGAGGGTCAAACCAACCCAGGGCTTCTCACACACAAGGCAAGCACCCTACCATGGAGTTATAGCCCCAGCCCAATCCTTTTTGGTTTGTTTAAGATTCTGATTTTCCAAGATTAATTTAGATTTCCACAGTTGAAGGTCTCCAAATAAAATCTTCGTAATTGTAGAAGTACTAATAGCATGCATTTCATACAGATTAGTTTCTCTAAAAATTTTCACTATTCTCCACTCAAATTTATTTATTATTAAAGGAAATGTTTCCAAGGAATGACTGATAAATCTTGAAAGCTTTTATGTTTTGTTTTTCTTTTCCTAGCTGCTCCCATTCCAAGAAACTCTGTCCTGTTGACATGCTATGGGATAGCAGAAAATGTAAATGTGTTTTACAGGAGGAAAGTCCACTCTCTGGAATGGAAGGTAATGCCAGCAGAAATTAAATACCAATAACAATACTAACAGCAGCAGCAATTAATTTACTATGACCAGACAATGTTGTAAGCCTCTCATATGTATTTTTTGATGCTTGCAGCCATACTGCAGTGAACTTCCTCTTTTATAATTTATTTTCCTTGCCCCCTTTCCCTTCCTAGATGTTGGTGTTTTTTCTATGAGCTGGGATTGCACACAAGCGTGGCTACGGTGTGCACATAGGTTTTAGCTATGGCGCTCACTGGGGGTCACAAAGTAGATTGTGGGGTTTGCACACTTGGCTGTAGTACTTACTACAGATTTGCTCTCCTTCCATTTCAGTGCTTGCATATGTAGTCACTGGGAGTCACACTCTCTTATTGAGGTGCACATGCTGAGTGAAATGAATCAGAAAGAGAGGGACAGATAGAGAATGACTGAATCACTGTGGGATATATATATATACACTAATATATATACTAATATATATTTACTAATATGCATGGCCAGGGACAACAGGGCTAGCAGGACTGGTAAATTGTTGGGATCAGGGGCTGGAGTGATAATACAGCGGGTAGGGCGTTTGCCTTGCACGCGCCTGACCCGGATTCAATTCCCAGCATCCCATATGGTCCCCTGAGGACCACCAGGAGTAATTCCTGAGTGCATGAACCAGGTGTAACCCCTTTACACCCCCAGGTGTGACCCAAAAAGCAAAAAAAATATTGTTGGGATCAACCACAAGTGTGTGGGGGGCGGAGGGTAGGTAAGATAGGGAAGGGATCAGCAAACACTTTATTTTTAATTTTTAAATTGAATCAGTATGAGATAGAGCATTACAAAGTTGTTCATGATTGGGTTTCAGTCATACAATGTTCCAACACCCATCCCTCCACCAGTGTAATTTCCCAGCACCAGTGTCCCCAGTTTCCTTCCCACCCCTTCAAGTCACCCCTCACCTCCCATCTGCCTCTATGGCAGGCACCTCTCTTCTCTTTCTCTTTCTCTTTGTCTTTCTCTATCTCATTTTAGGCATTATAGTTTGTGATACAGATGCTGAAAGGTTATCATCTATATCCCTTTACCTGCTTTCAACACTCACTTCTAGTCCAGTGATCATTTCCAATCAATATTGTCATAATTGACCCCCCCCCACTATCTTAACTACCCTCCATCCCCAACACCATTAACCAACCATTGACCAGACTTTCTGGCTTCTTTTCCCTGGCACTGGATATTAGTATCATACTGTTTTGTTCTGTTTTTATATTCCATAAATAAATGCAGTCATTCTATATCTGTCCCTCTCCTTCTGACTCATTTCACTCAGCATGATACTCTCCAAAAGTCAATCCATTTATAGTCAAATTTCATGACCTTCATTTTCCCTAACAGCTGTGTAATATTCCATTGTGTAGATATACCATAGTTTCTTTAGCCATACATCTGTTCTCGGGCACTCACGTTGTTTCCAGATTCTGGCTATGGTGAATAGTGCTGCAATGAACGTGGAAGTGCAGAAACGTGTTGTTTCTGCTGTGTTTTTTGGGCCCCCAGGGTATATTCCAAGAGTGGTATTGCTTGGTCAAATGGGAGCTGAATTTCTAGTTTTATAAGGAATGTCCATGTTGTTTTCCAGAAAGGTTGGACCAGTCAGCATTCCCACCAGCAATGAATGAGGGTCCCTTTCTCCCAGCATCCGCGCCAGCACTGTCTGTTCTTGTTCATTTGTGTGTGTGCCAGTCTCTGTGGCATGAGATGATATCTCATTGTTGTTTTGATTTGCATCTCCCTTATGATTAGTGATGTAGAACATTTTTTTTTCATGTGATGCTCGCAGCCATACTGCAATGAACTTTTGCTTTTATAATTTATTTTCCTTGCCCCCTTTTGGCCATCTGAATTTCTTCTTTGAGAAAGTTTCTGTTCATTACTTCTCCCCATTTTTTTGATGGGGTTGGGTACTTTTTTCATGTACACTTCTACCAGAAACTTCTGCACCTCAAAAGAAACCGTGAACAAGATACAAAGACAGCCTATGGAATTGGAAAAACGGTTTACCAAATACCCATCTGATAGAAGGTTAATATTAGCGAACACTTGATATTTTTCTTGAAGCTCTCTGTTTGCAAATGGAGTGGGCCTTGCCTGAAGACTTTTAAATGAATCTCTACTGCCACCTAGTGACCTATGAAAATATTGGAAGAGAATAGTTAATTCAGTACCAATCTCTTCTCCAGCCCTGAATCTACACCTGCCTCACCTTTTTCCTCTTCACAAAATTCAAAATGGAGTCTTTCCAAATCTACCCTTCCAACACACATTCCTCATGGTTCCTTAAATATCCTCAACTACAAGCACTGAAATCAAAGAGATTGAATTGTATGAGGGTACCATTTAAGTATATCACTGTAGTACTGTAGCACTGTCCTCCCGGTGTTCATGGATTTACTCGAGGGGCACCAGTAACGTCTCCATTGTGAGACTTGATGTTATTGTTCTTGGCATATCGAGTATGCCATGGGGAGCTTGCCAGGGTCTGTCGTGCGGGCGGGATACTCTTGGTAGCTTGCCAGGCTCTCCGAGAGGGAGGGAGAAATCGAACTCTGGTCAGCTGTGTGCAAAGGCAAACACCTTACCCACTGTGCTATCGCTCCAGCCAGGTATATCACTAATAACCAAATACTGGCAAGAACAGATGATTTTAAGCCAGTATCTTAGAATATTAGACGGGCTCGTTCAGAGGCTTCATACATCAGCCTGCTCCATTATCCTTTTATTACACCAAATGAGCAGAGCAAATGTTTATTGAGTGCCTATTTTATGCCAGAGAGATGAGATCTAGCCCCTAATGTCAGATTTGCTTTGCCAAAGGAAGACACATAGGAATAAACAGGAACATAGCAGTACAAGAAACGGCAGGATGGAAATTTTCACAGAGTAGGAGCACACAGAACAACTCATACAAGTTGGATATTTCTCAAGGGGGAAGGGTGTCAAAAGGAGGGAAGGAGAGGACCCCAGGAATGGGACTGAGGGATCTTGGAACAGTAGGGGAACAGAAGCCTAATTTGGTCTGGATGGAACAGAGGACATAGGAGAGAAAGAGGGAGAGGATGTGTTGGGGAGGTTTGTAGGGTCCAATTCACAGAAGCTCTCTGTGTCTTGGTGGGAAAATTGGCTTTTGCTGTGGACAACCTTCTAAATCACTTCAAGTAGTGCAGTGATGTTATTAGATTAGTCTCTGAGAGTGGGGTTGAGAACAGATTGAAGAGGTACAAAAGGAAAGTGTGGTGACAACTATCTACATAAAAAATATCGGGGCCAGAGAGATAAGATAATACAGGGCCCAAGGTCCATGCCTAGCATGTGCCTGGCCCTGGTTCAATCCCTGACAGCGCATGATCCCTTGAACACCACTGAGTGTGGCCTTGGAGGCCTTTGAACACTGCCACGGTGGCACAACACTGCCAGACCAGAGCAGCACCAGGTGCTTGGACCCTGGCATTGAACTGCCAGCCTAGTTGGCCGAGAATCACCAATAGGCCCCCCAGGGCCTACTGGACATGTGCAGACCGCCACAATTTTTTTTCATACAAGGGGGCCAGGAGATAGTACAGCAGTTAGGATGTATAAACCCTAACATGCATCCAACCCAGATTTGATTTCCAGCACCACATGGTCCCTAGCACACCCCTGCCTGCCCACCCTTTCCCCCACAGGTAAATACAAGCAATGGAGCTGGTGGCAGCGGTGACCACAAAGAAAGGACAAGTTCCAACTGGTGGAACTAGATTTAGTACGGCAGGTGAATAAGGGATAATGGTTCCGTTTTCTAAAGGCAGCAAACTGGAAGAAAAACAACGGAGGCGTAGGGAAGAGAGAAGTTTAGGGAAGAAGTTTAACAGATACTTTGCTCCAAAGTCTTCAAGAAGGCTGAGAGAGTCAAGTTCTTCCAAAGTTTCTATCTCTTCCATTTCTTTTGGCAATGAATTTCAACTTGATGCACAGAACTAGACATTACTCAACTTTTCTGGACATTTCCTACAAGTATCTGTCAGCGACGTGTATTGGAAACTTCTTCGACTCTCTTCTCTCGATGGAGCATATCTTCTGGCGATGTGTAGGGAACTAAAATTCATGATCACCGCTGTATCTTTCCTGTCAGTTTTGATTTATATTGAAAAACTGCATCCCTTTCTCTTCCCACAAACTGGAAGGTCTGAGGTACATTCTTACAAACCTAATACTTCTCCGCATCTTTGAAATCTTTCTTTATCTAAAACCCAAAAAGGACTAGATTTGCAATCCTATATTTTATTCCTAATACTTGGATACTTGGATGTGAATTGTTTACATTCCTAACAAATCACCAGCTGGAAATGTTTAAAAATCCTCCCAGAAATATTTAATTTATAACTTTGAATCGCAAACTTGAGGTCACATGTATTTGTTATCTATATTGCTGCATTAGAGGCTAATCTTCCCCTTGCAAAAAAGATTAGATGTGAGACTCTAAAGGTAAGAAGACTGAGTGATGAGAAGTTCTTTTATTTTTTTGTTAATTTTTTTCTGGTCCTATAGCATTTTATTTATTTATTTATTTTTTGATTTTTATTAGTGAGACATCATGAGGTAGGTACAGTTGTAGACTTACAAATTTTTGTGCTTGGGTTTCAATTATACAATGATCGAATACCCATCCTTCCACCAGTGCCCATTTCCCACCACCACGAATCCCAGTATCCCTCCCACCCCCCATCCCTCCCATCAAGAAGTTCTTTTAGAATGACTGCACTCATTTGTGGAATATAAAATAACATAATATGAGACTGACACCCAAAGATAGTAGGCACAAGGACCAGGAAGCTTGCTCCATAGTTGGAAGCCTGCCTCATGAGCTGGGGGAGAAGGCAGCTGGAATAGAGAAGGGATCACTAAGTCAATGATGGTTGGAGGAATCGCTCGGGAAGGGAGATGTGTGCTGAAAGTAGATAAAGGACCAAACGTGATAACCTCTCAGTATCTGTATTGCAAACCATAATGCCCCAAAGTAGAGAGAGAGAGTATGGGGGAAATTGTCTGCCATAGAGGCAGGGGGAGCGTTGGGATGGGGAGGATAGTGGGGGCATTGGTGCTGGAAAACGCACACTGGTGGAGAGATGGATGTTCGAACATTGTATGCTTTGTAACTCTATCTTATGGTGATTCAATTTTAAAGAAGAATAGTATCGACGCACTTTGCCCATCACTTTCTCCATGGTGCAGCTATTTGACCAATACTTTCCTGCTTCTGCGCAGACCACTCTCACCTTCAGGAACTGGCACTCTGTGGACCACACATGAAATTCGACGAAGATCGTTGTGAGTGCGTCTGTAAAACACCGTGTCCCCAGGATCTCATTCAGCACCCAGAAAACTGCAGTTGCATTGAGTGCAGAGAAAGTCTGGAGAGCTGCTGCCTGAAGCACAAGATCTTTCACCCAGACACCTGCAGGTGAATGTCATTGTACTTTCACCTTGAGTCAGTGCGATTCCTAATGAAGCCAGCTCTTTTTTTTTTAATGAATCACCATGAGATACAGTTACAGATTTACAAACTTCCGTGATTACACTTCAGTCATTTAATGATCGAGTATGCATCCCTCCCAGTGCTCATTCTCCACCATCATGTTCCCAGTATCCCTCCTGCCACCCTCGCTTTCCCCCATCCTCCACCTCTGTAGCAAGGCATATTCTCTTTTACTCTCTCTCTCTTTCATTTTGGGTGTTATGGTTTGCAATACAGGTTTGTTTGGTCCATAGTCTACTTTCAGCACGCATCTCCCATCCCGAGTGAGCCCTCCAATCATCATTTACTTAGTGGTCCCTTCTCTATCCCAGCCGCCTTTTCCCCCACCATGTGAGACCATGAATCCAGCTCTTTTTTTCTTTTTTGGGTCACACCCGGCGATGCACAGAGCTTACTCCTGGCTCTGCACTCAGGAATTACTCCTGGCAGTTCTCAGGGGACCATATGGGATTCTGGGATTTGAACCCGGGCTGGCCGCATGCAAGGCAAGCACCCTACCCGCTGTGCTATCGTTCCAGCCTCGAGTCCAGCTCTTTTTTTAAAAAAAATTAATTATATTTATTTATTTTTTAATTTTATTGACTCACCGTGAGATAGTTACAAGCTTTTATGTTTGAGTTACAATCACACAATGATCAAACACCCATCCCTCTGCCAGTGCTCTTTTGACAGTGCCTGAGTCCGTATTTGATTGCAAAACAGAGGGATGAGCATCTAAGGAATAAGTAAGAATCTGTAGAGTGATGATTAATTATATAATAAAGAATTTCTTATTTGGGCCTAGAGCGATAATACAGCAAGTAGGGTTCTTGCTTTGCACACAGCTGACCTTAGTTCATTCCTACCAGCACCCTATTTGGTTTTCTGAGCCCCACCAGGAGTGATCTGTGAGCCAGGAGTAAGCCCTGAGCACTGCTGGGTGTGACCCCGAAACCAAGACCAAAACCCAACAAAAAAGAAAGTTCTTTTTCTTGTTTTGAAAGTTCTTTTTGTAAGAATACCATATAACTTCATTCATCTTTGGAAGATACAGAAACAAAGCAAATGAACAAAATACAATGAGAAAAAGAGCAAAGCCTTAGAGGCAGAGAACTGACTGGTGATCACTCGAGGGAAAGGGGGTCAGAGAGTCGGTAAAATGGATAAAGGGGATGAACTGTGTGAAAGTAGGTGGAAACTGGACTTCCGGTGGAGATTATAATGTAGTGTCTGCAGATATCAAATTTTAATGGGGGTGCACTTGAAACCTATATGTGATAAACCAGTGTTACTTCGATAAAAATGCATCTGAAAAACTATTGGGACTTAGAGAGAGATAGTTGAAGGGGCTGAATGATGCTTTGCATCTCAGAGGCCCAGGTTCAATCCCTGATGCTGCATGATCCCCTGAGCCCCAGCAGGAGTGAATCTGGGTACTGCTGGGGGCTGCTTGACCCTCTCTAAAATACCGGCTGCTATTTGTTGATATATAAGTTCCATGCAAAAAAACTGAGTTGATCCTATTTGAACAATTATCTGAATGAGGGTTTCAGTGAAGAAACGTTGAATTATCTCTCTGACTCTCTACGTCCACAAACACTTGTTGCTTTTTCCTTTGAGGAAGATGGCACAGGTTTCCATAGCACACAGCTTCTTAATGAAGAGAACAGCTCCTCAGGTGGAGAGTATTTAATATAGCTTCATATGACTGTTTAATATGCATATATATATATGCACATTTTACTTGGAAAGCTTGATCAAATCAGATCTGAGTTACTCCACTGAGCTTAATCCTTGATTCGGAATTCCCATGTTTTTTTTTCTTTTGCAACAGCTGTGAGCATAGATGCCCATTTCACACCAGAACATGTGCAAATGGAAAAACAGCCTGTGCAAAACATTGTCGGTTTCCAAAGGAGAAAAGGGCTGGCACCCCTGGGCTCCAATGGTCAAGAAAACCCTTGATTCTGCTTTGCTCCTATGTCCCCCATCCCTGTCATTTTTAATAGTTTGCTGCTTTGCCAAGTTGCTGTCATGTTATTTTCCCCCCAGGTCTTAGGGAAAACATCAAATTTACTTATGACTGTGGTGAATTCAGAACACACACCCCCTCCACATCTCTTGCCTTAAACACCAGCCAAGGATTCTCTGGTTCACTGTCAGATATCTCCTGATGGAAGAAGCACCTGCACACCAGAGAAAGGAGGGAACTTCCCCCCCTTTTTTGGTGAATGAAGAAAGTTTGATCATTTTGGAGTGACAGGTACCATGTGATGAATAACTCAAAGTAAATGAGACAGTTTGCATAGTCACCGAGCCCTTTGCTATTTGCAGTTCTTTTGTGAATTATCCTGATTCCTTTTTCCTGCAGATTTTGATGTGTATGATCAACACTGATTTTCTGATTGCTGTCCTGCTTGTAGCTGTGAGTTTACCAAACTGTCAGTTGCTTCATATTTAAGTGTATTTAAATAAAATAAAACTTCATTATTCAAGCTACAGAATTTTTTTTTGTTGTCTGGTGTGTTACCACTCTAAATGTTAAGCTAAAGAAAAATGTGTTAAAGAGAAAAAGGGATTTAGAAGTGGGAGGTATGAGAAGGGACAGGAACATACGAAAACTAGGTGTTCATTTTGGAAAACCAAAGGATAGTCCTCCAAAGATTTAAGATTCTGGAAATTAGTTCAACTTAACTTGATCTCCATCTGTGATTGCAGATGGAGACGATTCCACTGATGCCTCTAACATCCCGGGGGCTTAGACTTCTGGCTACCTGCACTTCAATGTTTTTGCACTGGTTGAACTCAAGTCTCATACACATCTCGAATCGTGTGACTGTGCACAATCTCTGGTTCAAAATTACCTAGGAAGGATGGTCAATCCTTTTCCCTTTTCATTTCCCTCCAAAATATACTCACAAATAATTTGTGATGGATAGACTTTACTGAAAGTATAGGATAATGGGAAATTTACAAGTCTTAGCAGAATTACTTAACAAGCAACTTAAAAATTGAGCCCCCTTCTTCAGGACCTTGCACAGACATGATAGTGATGATGATAGAGAGATGAAGATGATGATGATGATGATGATGATGATAGATAGATAGATAGATAGAGGAAGTGGGTGAATGAATACACACTTAGATGGATGGAACTATGGATGAATGGATAAGTAGATAGACTGATAGATACAGAGATGTATGAATAGGTAGACCCAATATGTTAAGCAATTTATCACTTACTTTTGTAAATAGCTGTGTTCAGGTGTATCTTATCACCACATTTTGATCTCATTATTGGAAATTGTGCCCCGTTTCTTAAATCAGACTGTCTGAAACAGTACAATAACAAAGAGAAACAAATACAATTTCTCCCAAAGACCCATAATAGAATGGCCTTTCCTCTCTCATGGTTCCTATGTACTTCCTGAGTTTTCCCCTGTTTGTTGAGTTTCTCTGAGATCACAGGCTCCAGGCCCTCTGGTCTTCCCTGACTACTTTTCAGTCCCCATCCTGGGACAAGGTTGTAAGGTTGTTCTTGACTTGCCTTAGGAACCAGTATCCACCATGCTTCCACTACCATTATACTCGTCAATTCTGGGGTTAGCCCCTCATTCCTCTCCTGTTTCAGTTCCCTTAGCTCCATTGTAAGACCTCTATGTTAATGGGCCTTCTTCTTGCTTTTACTATCCGACTCTTAACCTTCTTGAAGGGCTCACAAATTCTGATGCTTGTGTGGTCCTTTCCTCCGCTTTCCACTACTCTCTCTCCCTCCATGGTATTTGGTTATGTTGCCTCAAGAGCTGGGACAAAGGGCACCGAGCATACTGTTACAGGAGTCTCTTTGCTTATCCTGGACTGTTAAGGGGTGAGGTGAATTCCAAACCAAGAGAAAAGACCTGAGCTTAAGTGCAGACTCTGCCGCCTTCTTTCCTACGTACTGCGAATGATAACTTCATCTTCCTGCACTTGAGAAAGGCTCATCCCACTTGAGCTACCATAAGTGGGGGAAAAAACGAAAAAAAACTATGCACTTAACAAATTAAAGGGATTAGGCCAAACACGAGAAGTGTGGCTGTGAACCATGTACTCGGCTTTTACTAGATTCCTGTATCTGCACTAAAACTAACCCAAGCATACTCTCTCTAATTGCCATCTACAGGAAATTTTATTTTTTTGCTTTTTGGGTCACACCTGGCGATGCACAGGGGTTACTCCTGGCTCTGCACTCAGGAGTTGTCCCTGGCGGTGCTCAGGGGACCATATGGGATGCTGGGAGTCAAGCCTGGGTCGGTCACGGGCAAGGCAAATGCCCTAACCGCTGTGCTACTGCTCCAGCCCCTACAGGGAAATATTATAGGCAATATTGGGCTGGGACAAAACCAGCCACCATCTAGTTTTGTACTACCTAAACTGTTCCCTCCTCACTTCCTCCCTACCCCTCAACAACTACCACAAGATTAGCATTTGGAATCTTGAGGCTGGATTGGGATAGGGCTAGTACTCAGCGTAGAGGGAGGCTAACAGCCTATGGCATTACTACAGTTCACTGGTATTTGTGCAGGAATATTTGCCGTACAAATAGGGTTGGAGCTATAGCAGAGCAGTAGGGCATTTGCCTTGCACGCGGCTGGCCCAGCTGACCCGGGTTCGATTCCTCCACCCCTCTTGGAGAGCCCAGCAAGCTACCGAGAGTATCTCACCTGCACGGCAAAGCCTGACAAGCTCCCCGTGACGTATTCGATATGCCAAACACAGTAACAAGTCTCAAAAAGGAGACATTACTGGGCCCGCTCGAGCAAATTGATGAACAACGGGAGGACAGTGCTACAGTGCTACATACACAATAGTGGCTGCAGAGTCTTGACTTGTGGTGAAATAAAAAATATGTGAAAATCTCAAGAACTTAAGGCAAAAACAGTAAATGTCAGTGATGCATGAGCTACCTGATTATCTAAGCCACAAGATCAGAAAATGTATTCATATGCTCCTGCAGGTCCAGGTCTGTGACTGAAGCAAAGTGGTAAGAGGCCGTTTAGAAATGGAGATAGATTAGCGCGCATAATGGTCCCAGTTGGATGAGACTGTCAGACTATCCAAGATGCCTGATAAGTGGTGACAGAAATAATGCATTCGAGGATTTTTAAGAAAACGATAGTTGGGCAAAAAATGTGAACTTAATGGATTTGATTATTAGGGTAATAAGAACTGGCCTCTGTCTAATTTACTCATAATTCTCAGCGTGGGAACAATGTCTTGCATATATAAGTGCCTCATAAACTATTCATTAATAAATAATGAAGTGTTGATTGAGTTTATGCCCAGTGGAAAAAAATCTCTAAAAGCAAAGTCAAGCCTAATTTTACATAACTTATTATTCAAATGTAGCTAAATTGGATACATACCTGAATTCTTTAGAAGTTCCAACTTTAGAAGGGGATTAAATTAGTGACTACTCCAAAAATACTTATAAAATTGAAAATCTTTCTTCCATGTGATTGTTCTAATTGCTTAGTAGAATAAAAATTCTGCCTTCTGGGATATGGATCTGTCTCAGCGCTAGAGTGCATACCTAAATGTGAGAGATTCTGAGTTCCATCCACAGTGCCACAAAAACACCTGCTGTCTGTAACTTTATTGCTTATAATTTTTGTTCTAAATTTGCAGCTCACTGCTTGCTTGGGTGAAAAATGGTTTCTTGAGGCGGGTGGAGGAGGTTGGGGAAAAATATGGTTTCTTGGCACACAGCTACATTCATTCCTGTGTGGTGTGTGTGTGTGTGTGTATGTGTGTGTGTGTGTGTGTGTGTGTACTCTATGGCTGCTTCTGATTTTGAGAGCTTGTAACAGAAACCATATGACTTGCAATGCCTAAAATGTTTACTATTTGGTCCCTGATAGAAAATTTTGCTGATCCCTTCAGTAAGTTTCATTCTTTCCTCTTCTTTTTTGGGGGGCATACCTAGACATGCTTAAAGGTTACTCCTGACTGTGCTCAGGGATAATTACTGGCAGTGCTTGGGGGAACATATAGGATGCCAGGGACTGAACTCGGGTTGGCCACATGCAAAGCAAGTGCCTTAGCTGCTGTACTATCTCTCCATCCCCATAAAAGTTTCTTGCCTATATGACGTGTCAACAGTTAACAATATAAAAAATAATCAAACTGACAGTTGATCCCCTGCAGAAAAAGTCTCTGTGATCAGATTTGGATAAGTTCTTGGAAGTGGCTGATTTAAACTCACTTTCGTATTTGGGTAGAGCAGCAGATAGAGTTGTAGACATTTCGCTGGAAGTGAACTACAAAAAAAAAAGAATTTTAAATTGTAAGCAAGGAGATAAAGAGGAAGTACATGAATTGACCAATGAAAAGGTTTTTTGAGTGTCCACCCACAAAATAAAAACCGACTTCTGCAAAGGCACACAATTATAAAATTTTGGGATATCGGAGACCAAGAGATAATAGTATACATTTCCAGAGTAATCAAAATGACTTTATACAAAGGGTAGGAAATAAGTCTGACATTAGACTCTATAGCTAGGAGAAACATAACTGAAAGCTAGAAGGCTCAGTGATAGTTGGATATTGTCCTTCTGCCTCATGTTGCACAGGCCAAAGTCACTCCAGAGACTACAGAGGTAACATCAAGTTGGGAAAACATCTGCTGATGAATTCCTTAGCAAGTGCTCAGACCTGTGGGGCCTGTCTCTGTGTGGCTTTTCATCATTCAATCTTCTTATTTTTTGCTTTTTTGGGGTCACACCCGGCGATGCTCAGGGGTTACTCCTGGCTGTGCACTCAGGAGTTACTCCTGGTGGTGCTCGGGGTACCATGTGGGATGCTGGGAATCGACCGGGTCCGCCACGTACAAGGCAAATCCCTACCCGCTGTACTACGGTTCCAGCCCCCTCATCATTCAGTCTTACTTGAGCTTCACTGCATGGGGAATGGCATGAAAATAGTAGGTTCCCGAGGTTTCTCATTTAATGATATCCCATTCGCTAAGAAAGTCACATGGTCAAAGCAAAGTCAGTATTCAAGGGAATGAAAATAGAAAGCGATTCCCTGAGGGCAATCAATGTGTAATATCTCCCAAGAGGATGCTTCCTCTCTCTAGTCAAATAAGAAACCCCTGTGAGCCTCTCTAATTTTAGAAGAGCTAAACCCTGATCATTTATTTCCTGCTTTCACAGAGTCCAGAGCTTATTATATTTTTAAACTTTTTAAACTTTTGCTTTTTGGGTCACATCTGGTGATGCACAGGGGTTATTCCTGGCTCTGCACTCAGGAATTACTCCTGGCGGTCCTTGGAGGACCCTATGGGTTGCTGGGAATCGAACCCGAGTCAGCCACTGCAAGGCAAACCGCCTTACCCGCTGTGCTATCGCTCCAGCCCCAGCCTATTATATTTGGTTTGGTTTCTGATATGTGTAAATATTTCATTTCTGCTTTTAAATCACAACATATGAATGTTTTCATTACTAAAGTATATTTCCTTTTGCTTGCTTGCTTGCTTTCTTTCTTTCTTTCTTTCTTTCTTTCTTTCTTTCTTTCTTTCTTTCCTTTCTTTCTCTCTCCCTTCCTTCCTTCCTTCCTTCCTTCCTTTCTTCCTTTCTTTCTCTTTTCCTTTCTATCTTTATCTCTCCTCTATCTCTTTATCTCTTTTTTGTTTTTTTTTGGGCCACACCTGGCAGTGCTCAGAGCTTACTCCTGGCTAGCTCAGGGGTACCTTATGGGGTGCCAGGGATAGAATTTAGGTTGGCTATGTGCAATGCAAGCACCCTACCCACTGTACTATTTCTGCAGCCTCTTATTTTTCTATTCTTTTTTTCATAATAACATGATTTATTAATGCTTATTATGTGTCTTTATAATAGCCAGAATCTGAAAAAACCCCGAGTGCCCGAGAACAGATGACTGGTTAAAGAAACTTCGAGATATATATCACGATCAGGATCATCTTGTTGTTCGTCAATTACCTCGAGCAGGCACCAGTAACATCTTCTTCCTAGCCCTGAGATTTTAAAAGAGCCACTTCAGTGATCTTTCAGGATTAGGAGAATGAGACCCATCATTGTTACTGGTATTTGGCATATTCAGTACGACACGGGAAGTTTGCCAGACTCTGCCATGCGGAGGATACTTTTGGTAGCCTGCCAGGTTATCCAAAGGAAAAATAATAAGATGTCGCGCAGCCACGAATGCGGCCACACGCTTCCAGGAGCTGGGTTTTATAGTCTCTGCGTCTTGGCAGTTGATGGGACCAACCTGGCGCTGGCAGCAGCTGATAGGTGATGCCTACCTACTGGAAGATGGGGGGTCTGGGTGGAGAAGGCCCAGTCCCAATACAAGTAGGCTTGGAGACCTCAGCCCCGGGACCTGCTTGCTTGGGTTCCTCTGCCAGTTCTTTCATGCACGAGGCCCATTCGGATGTGTGGAGAGTGGTCGGCTCCGTAGGTCCTCAGCTGCTGGGGCTCTGCTCGGGGCGGGGGGGAAAGAAACTCAACCCTCCCCCCTCCAAGGGGCCCCGGTGAGGACAGCCAGGCGTGGGGGCAGGAGACTCTTTTATAGACAAATGAGACTGTGAACTGTGTATGTATATATATACACACACACACAGTGGAATACTATGCAGCTGTTATCTTTCTATTCTTAACACATAGAGGAGTGAGGAGTCTTGAAATATCAATTGAAAATGTTCTGTTGACAGAAAGTGATTTGAATCTATTTTCCTTAGTGAAGTTCTCTATCAGTTACTTCCACCTTTATATCAAATGCTATTTCTTGTTTGAACCTTCCCCCTTCTCTGTATAACTACACAACAGTGTGGTTAGACAGTCAGCAGCAATCTCTGTGTTTTGTTTGAGTTGACCTTGGAATAACTTAGCTTGCATGAACATTCTCTAGTCAATTAGCTAAATGGTAGCAGTCAGAAATACTCTTTGCCTCTCAACTCTCAGTATTTTCTTTATATTATCTTAGATAAAGTCCTGCCTTTTAGCATAAGCACTATAAATTCCTACCTTTTAGCATAGGTATTTATATATACCTTGTGCCTTGCACATAGATAGCAGGTTCTCAGTACAAGTCTTGTCTTGTCCAAAGGTATCTAAGGAAGCTAATTTACATATGAATTGACAGAGAACTGAATTTTAAGGGAAGGTGACATCCACATTTACTACATCTTCTCCATGTATAGGTTATTTTAAAATAATGCAACTCATCCTGATGATAGCCCTTATATTTTAATAAGTATAAGCAGCATACATGGCCTCTAGTTTAATTTGGTGATTTCGAACAAAATTCTCTAAAAGCATACATTTGGGCATAAGGCTTAATCTTGCGATAACTTTCTTTTGAATTCTATAAAATAATCGTAAATGGATACTTATGCTTAAGGTTTTACTATCTATAAATGGATTTTTATAGACATATGAGACTGTAGCGATAGCACAGGGGTAGGGTGTTCGCCTTACAAGCGGCCAACATGGCCAACCCGAGTTTGATTCCTCCGCCCCTCTCGGAGAGCCCAGCAAGCTACCGAGAGTATTCGATATGCCAGACACAGTAACAACAAAGTCTCCACTGGAGACGTTACTGGGCCCGCTCGAGCAAATCGACGATCAATGGGAGGGCCTTTATGAGACTGTGAACTGTGTATACAATTATGATTTTTTTTGCCTTTTGAATATTAAAGCCTAGGTCAGAAAATCTTGGATGATAAATGTTCAATATTCCCAGATTTTATATGGTGGATGTCTCAAACCATCCTCTCAGAGACTCAGAAACAGCGTGTACTTATTACTATTCACTTACAAAGATCAGCTTATTCTACAATATTAAGACAAAGAGAACCTTTTGAGGAAAGTGGGCTGTTTTCAACTACTGGAAATGGTAAATAAAAGGCTGGAAAGACAAAAAGCTTTTAAAACACAGAACTATGTTTAATATTCCTGTATTCCGCACAAAGGCTTTTATAGAGTAGGAACACAGTAAATATTTGATGATAAAGATAGGAAATGTTTGTTCTGTTTTTATAAAAGTATACAACTCTTTTGAAGGTCAATTTGCATGAGGATCTTAGAAGATTAGTGGTAGAATTTCAAATTTTTTTTTGTGATTAGAACTATGATAAACTAGGTGCTCAATAAATCAGGAATAATCCAGGATTTCTAATTATGGACTTGGTCTGTTGCAAAATGAAAAAGATCCCAAGGCATCATCTGGTAGTGTTATCATTATTTTTGAAACTAAATGCAAATAATTAAGCTTTAATAAATATCCTTGAGTAATCATAATCTTTAGTCCCTGGGGCTTCAATATAGGGCAGAGCTGTAATCTTATTCGAGCCTTACTCATTAATATTAACTCATTAATATACCTCAAATCCTACAACCAAATTGCTCTTTGTATCATTAAATAGCAATTTTCATAAGGTATACTCCAAAAATGTATTTAATACATTTTATTGGATATATATTATGTGTTAAGGACTTGCTGGCATTGGATAGTATAATTTATTAATATAACTAAAACATTCAAACATGTCTATTACCAGGAGTCGTATTACCAGGAGTAGACCCTGGCCCAACTTACTATCTGGCAGAGAGGACAGATGTGTATTTAAGAAACAAGTACAATTCCCAGATTTCAGAAAGAAGTTTATTTGAGAACATGAGACACGAAGTAGAAAGAGAGAAAGAGAGGAAAAAAGAGAGAGAAAGGAAGGAAGGAAGAAAGAGAAAGAAAGGAAGAGAAAGAAAGGAAGAAAGAGAAGGAAGGAGGGAAGAAGGGATGGAAGAAGGAAGAGAGGAAGGAAAGGAAGGAAGAGAAAGAAAGGAAGATGGAAGGATGAAAAGAAGGAAGGAGGGAAGGAAGGAGGGAAGGAAGGAAGGAAAGAAGGAAGGAAGGAAGGAAGGAAAGAAGGAAGGAAGGAAGGAAGATGGAAGGAGAAACAAGAGTGGCAGCCAGGTAAAGGAGCCTCGAGTATCACTACTAAACGCTACACTATCATACGGAGGGAGAATTTAATTCTCCCTGGAGGCTTGCAAAGGGAGGGCAACAAAAGGAAATTGAAATATTCCGGATTTTCTAGAGGCTTAAAAGGGGTGCTGTTAGTGGCAGTTATGTTGTTATTCAAAAAGGCATTTGTTCTGAACAGTGATCGCATGGCAGGGCTGGGGAACTCCAAATATCTATCTTGAGAGGTGCGTTACTTAAATCACTCTAACTGACTCATTAATCTTTGGCTAAGCACCATCAAAGCCAGTTGAACCAGCTCCATAGGGAGCTGATATTTGATTTCAGACTTTAGATTTTTCCCATCCCCGTGTAGGGTTGTCAGATAAAAGATGTCAGGTTGTCAAATACAAGATAAGCAATTACGTTTAAATTTCAAGTAAAATTTTTAAAAAGTACCCAATAGTTGGGACTCGCTATTTAAAAAAAAATATCTGAGGGCCCGAAGCGTAGTACGCTCGCCTTGCACCCGGCTGATGGGGTTTCGATCACCAGCATTCCATATGTTCCCCAGAGCGCAGCGGGAGTGATTCCCCAGGGCTAGGAGTTAAGTCCTGCTCACGGCCCGCAATGACCCCCACCCCCATCGCCAAATTAAACTAATTAAATCTAACAATATTTTACTTTTAATCAGAATTTTTTTTTGCTAGATCAAGCATCCCTACCAGAGTAACAAAAACCAACACGATTTTCCTGTGTGGCACGGAAAATCACAAAACGCTACGCTGATCCCAGCTTTCTGTAGCTTTCCATCCAAGAACGATTCTCCAATCAGAACCTAGAGAGAACGCGCGTCCCCAGAGAGACGCTGTAACTAGGCAACCAACGCTGGACCTCCCCTTCCCCCCTCCCTCCACCCCACACCCCGCAAGCTGTCGCCGGTCTTCGCTTTAGAAGTGCAGTGCATCCTGGGAGTTTGAAGTTAGGACTCGCCTTTAAAGGCCACCAGACTACAACTCCCAGAATCCTAAAGGGCCGCCGCGACGCACGCTGGGAGTTCCGGCTTTACTACGAGGAGGCGGCGCGCTGAGCTACTTGGTACCAGAGAGCAGGGGTTATTTTTAGAAGTAGGCGACGTTAACGATCTAAAACATTAAACTGGGGCTTGACTTGCTCCCAACAGGGAGAAAACAAGCCTTCCGGAACATCGCCATGGAGACACGTGCACACGCACGGTGACGTTCCCCTCCGCGTTAAGGGATGGGGCCCGAGTGTCGCTTCTGCACGTGACCACAGGCCTCTCTGTGATTGGCTGCCTCGGGGGCGCGGCCTTCGGGCGCGGACGCTGCGGATTGGTGTTTCGTGATGGTGGGGTGGGGCTCCGGGTGCTGCCGCGGGAGGTCCGGACACTGGCGGCCATGGGTCTCGCCGGTAAGTGCCTTCTCTGTCCGCTGTTCTGCTCCTCTTGACCATTTCTGCATGGGATCGGGCTGATCTCCGGGGAACCTGGGCAGCGGTGCTGGGGACGAAGTCACCCCGACCTGAGACTCAGAAGTCACGGTCGAGGGATTCCGGAGTGGAACGGGACCGGTTCCACTCGGGCGGCCGCGCCGGAGCCGGCTCATGGGGAGCGGACGCCGGCGGTTGAAATGCTCCGGGACCCCTCGTCGCCGAGGCGTCGCTCTGCTCCCTCCGGCGCCTTCCCGTCCTTCGGGTGCGGTGAGACCCCGACTGGCGCTGGCCGAGGGATCGCCGATTGAATGGGGCGCTTGTTTCCTTGGCCCGGGAGCATCCCCGCGACCTCGCCGCGAGCCGAGACGGGGAGCCGAGGGTTGGGGATCATCATCATCCCTCTCTCCTCGACACCCCCCGGGTTTCCCCCGAGGTTCCTCGAGCGCCTTGGCCACGGTTGGCCGCCCAGGCGCTCAGTCTCAACGACCGAGAATGTTAAGGCCATTTCACATTTGCCACTTAAGTGGATGGGTGGGGACTTCGGGCCAATTGCACAACTCGTCCGGCGTCTCAGGTGGAAAGGGAGAGAGCTGTTGTTGGCGAGACTTCCCGGCTTCTCCGGCTTTTAAATTTCAAGAGTCGGGGAGTGTACATAGTCCTCTGAAACTTCCAGAAGTCAACTCAGAGCACAGAAACGGGCGTAAGCCCTGAGCATCATCAGATGTGGTTCAATTGTGCCCCACCAAAAGGAGGAGACATTAAAATTTTTCTTCAGGGGCGAGGCTGTAAGCATCCTCTCTAGTCCCTGATTAATTCCAAGCTTGTATCTTATATGGAATGGAGAGACAAAATAATGAGACCAAATCAACATAGGCCTGGGGCACCAGAATCTAATTGGCGTTTTATTTCTGGTCTGAATAAATAATTGATCAGAATAAAAGAAAAGAAAAAAGAGTCGGGGAGTGTTCATGCCACTGAGATGATGACAAGATTTCCTGATGAAAACAGGCAGATTTTTTTTCCGGAACTTTACCGCTCATTGACAAAACTTGGACTTCCTGTGGCTCACCGTTTTGTTACCACTCCTCTTTTAAAAGCTGATTTGGGTTTCCATGACAGACCATAGTTAGAAAGTGTTGGGGAAACCGCCTCTAAAAGCGTCGTCTTGAGCGTCTCAATATTTGATAATATCGAGTCATAATAAATTCAGATCAGCGAACACTAACTATCTGAGACTAGATGGAAAACAGAGACGAGTTTGTTGGCGAGACTAAATGGTTAATGTTTTGCCTAAGCAGTTCACTTCCCTTTTCTTAGTGAGAAGTTGGAATCAGGAACCTAGAACTTCAGGCGATTTTCTGTTGTATGTTTGCGTCCCTGGAAGCCAGGGATTCCCATATGTGAAGCTAGAGAAGATTTTTCTCTAGCTTTCCAAGTGAGACTCGCTTTGGCTTGATAAGTCTGCCCTACTGCTGAATATTGGATGGGCACTTCACCCTGATATGGGACTAGATCGCAGGGATCCCTAGGGCCAAGGTTTCTTGCTTTAGATGTAGATAATATCCACATATGCTACTCATCTTCTACTTTAGATATAATAGAAAAGGTGAAAAAACGGGGGGAGCAGTTTAAATATCACCTTTTTTAAAAAAATAATGCAGTTGCTGGAACTGTCCACAGCATACTGAGTCATTCTCAAGCTATGTGTCAGACTAGCAGAATTATGAGACTAATCAAATCAGTGATTAGGCTCTAGAGCGTGGTCAGGACGATTTTCCTGTGAAGAGCCATGTGTTTGATAGAATAAATTAGCTTGTTAGTAAATTCCTGCAATCTGGTGTCCCGAACGTTTTTAAAACTTAGGTGTAGTACTGTTTTAACAATGAAATTAAGATAAGACTCTGCAGAATCTGGTTTTGTTATAGCAGCGCGACGCCAGTATTGTCAAGTCAGTATATTCTATGTTTTGTTTGCTTCCTAGGTGGAAAACCAACAAATTCATATCTCCTATTAAAACTGTTTATGTCTGGATTTGAAATATGGAATGGATTTTTGTCCTTGAGCTGAGATGCTCTTTTCCTCTCTCTTGCAGGTAATAGACACCATAACTGGGTTGCTTTAAGGACTAATGCCTGAACCATCTCAGCATGGCCTGTGTAGAAGGCAGTGGGCACGACCAGCCTCCCTCAGACTCACTCTCCTGTGTTAGCCTCGAAAGTGTTTCCGCAAGTAGAACCTGTAACCGTAGCCATAACATATGCATGGTGTCCGACTTTTTCTATCCCAATATGGGAGGCGTGGAAAGTCACATTTACCAGCTGTCTCAATGCCTGATAGAAAGAGGCCACAAGGTCATAATTGTCACCCATGCTTATGGAAATCGAAAAGGTGTTCGTTACCTCACTAATGGCCTCAAAGTCTATTACTTGCCTCTGAAAGTCATGTACAACCAATCGACAGCCACAACCCTCTTTCACAGTCTGCCACTGCTCAGGTACATATTTGTTCGGGAGAGAATCACAATAATCCATTCACATAGTTCTTTCTCTGCCATGGCCCACGACGCCCTCTTCCACGCCAAGACAATGGGGCTCCAGACAGTTTTCACAGACCATTCCCTTTTTGGATTTGCTGACGTCAGCTCGGTGCTTACAAACAAGCTTCTAACTGTGTCTCTTTGTGACACAAACCACATCATTTGTGTCTCTTACACGAGTAAGGAAAACACTGTGCTCAGAGCAACTCTGAATCCTGAAATAGTGTCCGTCATTCCTAATGCTGTAGATCCTACTGACTTCACTCCAGATCCACTTAAAAGGCATCATAATGTAACTATTGTTGTTGTCAGCAGACTTGTTTACAGAAAAGGTAATGAAATGATAGAGCTACAATTACACTGCACAGACTTATGAATATTTGTATGTGATGATTGCTTGAGTTTTCTTTTTGTTTTATGGTTTTGTGTGTAAAATATAGTGAAGACAGGACTAATATTGTTTTATAAGTGCAAAAAGAAATGGCTGGAATGGTGGTAAATGCTGCCCTTCTCCCTAACCTTTGTTGTGTTCGTAGTTACCTAAAAACAGCCTGATGTGGGGCTGGAGTGATAGTACAGTGGGTAGGGTTTTTGCCTTGCATGCAGCTGACCCGGGTTCAATCCCCAACATCCTAAATGGTCCCCTGAGCACCGCCAGGAGTAATTCCTGAGTGCATGAGCCAGGAGTAACCCCTGTGCATCGCCAGGTGTGACCCAAAAAGCAAAACAAACAAAAAAAGCCTGATGCTCTTTAGTAGATGAGATATTTTTAAAAGCTGAAACAGCCTTGTACTTGTGGTGAGAAGTGCAAGGTACAGCCCATCATATAGTCCTTTCCTTCAGATTCTAGAAGTAATGTCTTTCCATTGCACATGTTTTTAAAGCTAAGGAAAACACACTAAAATCCCCTGTAACTGCACTACCCAGGGCATTTTAATGATGGGCATTTTAAGTTTTTCACTCCTACAGCGTAGATTTAGAATCACTGGACCTGTCCACATGCTAACTGTTTCCTAGCTTGCTGATTGAGTCATAGATAAGATATGTAACTTATTGACAGGTAAGTGATGAAACAGAGTGGACGGCTCACTCTCTGATCTGGTTCTGTCCCTCATTGTGTGTCCAGGACAAACAACTCTCCCAGTTGTTTGAAATGTTTGAGCTGACTTACCGTGGGAATTTTATGAAGGTCCAGGGATCTCACATCCTAGTCTAGTATATATCCAGTGTCTACTGTTCCCAGAGAGCTTTTTAATGCCTCAGAAGCACTTCCTGGACACTGAGGTAGAATTTGTGCAGTCTACTTTGCTAAAATTATGACACAGTCATCTGGATATTTGAAAACCTTTTCAGTAATAAAGAATATTACTAAATGTAGGGAGTCTTTAAAAAGATAATTTGTGGGGCTGGAACTATAGCACAGCAGGTAGGGCATTTGCCTTGCACGCAGCCGACCCGGGCTTGATTCCCAGCATCCCATCTGGTCCCCTGAGTACTGCCAGGAGTAATTCCTGGGTGCAGAGCCAGGAATAAGCTCTGTGCATCGCCGGGTATGACCCAAAAACCAAAAAAAAAAAAAAAAGAAGAAGAAGAAGAAAAAGAAAATTTGTACCTCCCCTTAGTTATTTGATGTTGACACAGGCTGTTGGTCATTTGTGCTCTATTGCCAGTAGTTTGAGGCGGCCCTGCGGGCCTGGATCTCTGGCTCATTGATTGGCATTGCATCACTTTTTAAAAAAAGAACTGTAGTCCACTATTTACAATTTGTGTTTCTTTGAAGTTATGGGGTGGGGTCGGGGAGTTGATAACCTAAAAGCATATCATGCTTCTGAAATTTTGCTTTTTAATTCCATTTGGTGGTTTAGAACATCCCCCAATCTGGCAGGAGCTGCTTTTCTGACTTTCCCTTATTGAAATTTTCCAACCATATAGATTAAGTTTTAGAGAAACATTTTATCATCTGATGTGCTCTTTAATTCAATTTTCTAATAGAGTTGCAAGCATAACTGACGTCAAGCAGATTTGTGGACAGAGTTGAAAATGGTGGTAAACACCCCTCAGTGGAGGGATCAGGCGTGTGCCAGTGTTTAGAGGCAAGACCTTATAGTCAGTAGGCATGGGGCTCGAGTGATAGCACAGCGGGTACGGTGTTTGCGTAGCACGCAGCTGACTCGGCTCCGATTCCCAGCATCCCATACGGTCCCCCGAGCACCGCCAGGAGTAATTCCTGAGTGCACGAGCCAGGAGTAACCCCTGTGCAATGCCAGGTTGACCCAAAAAGCAAAAATAAATTTAAAAAAATAGTCAGGCGTATGTGTGGAATGGAGAGCCTCGGTTGATGGAGCAGACCACTGAAGTGGAAATTGCTGAGAAAACTGCCTACTTGCAGTCTGGGAGGTACAAAACTAACTGCATTTCCTGGCTGAAGGTAGTGATCTGCTTTCACTCCTTAATCTAGAGAAAGGATCAACATTCTGTATTCTGATTCCCTCTTGGGAGCCTGGCAATTTTGGTCAGAACTTAAAAGATGTGCCCAATTTGCTTAATCAAATAATAAATCTTTATGAGAGAGCACAGCAAAGCAGTTTAGATGTATGGGAAGATTCCAAAGAGACTAAAAATAATCCAATCATGAACAACTTGATGACTGTATCTCTTGGTGATTCAATTAAAAAAAATCAACTTCTTGTACCAAGATTGAATCTGAACCTATTTTGACTAACCAAGGTAACCAGAGTGAAATGACTACTTTTTCTGTTCTCAAGTCAATCATTTAATAAATATTTGGGGCTGGAGAGATAGTGCAATGGGAGGGTGCATGCCTTGTACACAGCCAACCTGGGTTCACTCCCAGTAACTCATGTGGTTCCCTGAGCACCACCAGGTGTGGCCAGAATTTTAATTTTCTTTTTTTGCTTTTTGGGTCATACCTGGCTCATGCACTCAGGAATTACTCCTGGTGGTGCTCAGGGGACCATATGGGATGCTGGGAATTGAACCCAGGTCGGCCACGTGCAACACAAATGCCCTACCAGCTGTGCTATCACTCCAGCCCCTAGAATTTTTAAAAAAAAATTGTAAATATTTATCCCATGTTCTCCATAGGCCATCAGCCAAGCCCTGTGCAAATCATAACATTCTGAAAAGAAATTAGGTCAAGTGAATAGTTGTTTCAGTGGTCCATTAGATAGTCACAAATGTCCATAGGAAATTGCAGGTGGACAGGTATCAAAGGCCCAGTGGAACAATATGTCCCATATATGTTCCATGTAAGAGAGAGGTGAAATCAACATTCTTAATTGCCTGGCTTGCTGGCTGACTTCTTCAGCCTGTCTTACTCTTTGTAGTTTACCATACCCCGTCCTGCGTGGGGACAGGCATGCTCCACTTCCTCCTATTGTGGTAATGACAACTTACATTCTATTCTGTAGTTGATAAATCCTATGCGTGGTACTGTACCCCACTTTGACCCTCTGAGCAACTATGGAGTAGATGTTACCTGTATATAGCTAACAAACAGAGGGTAAGTACTTTGTCTAGGTTACACAGTAAGTAACAGATGAAAGTGAGTTCAGCTCCAACTGAGTTCAGTTCTCTTGTCCAGCCACCATTACCTAGGTAGAGCTTAAAAAGAGGCTTTAAAATAGAGACTAAACACTTTGGTGGTTTTTTTTTCTTTTTGGCTTTTTGGGTCACACCTGGCGATGCACAGGGGTTACTCCTGGCTCTGCACTCAGGAATTATCCCTGGCGGTGCTCAGGGGACCATATGGGATGCCAGGAATCGAACCCAGGTTGGCCGCGTGCAAGGTAAATGCCTTACCCGCTGAGCTATTGCTCCAGTCCCAAGACTAAACACTTTGAATCAGAAATTGTCCTGTCCATTTTGTGGGTATGTAGCTTTTCGTATGTTCCTTTATGTTTTTCTCTTCTTAGAGGCACTGGAGTAATGATATGTATAGTAGGGGAAAAGTCTTTTATTAGAATAATATTATATTATAGATTGTTAATATTATCAGTTCCATTTCTTATAAGGTTGTTGTCAGGGTTAAGTGATAGTGTTCTTAAAATCCATTGACTCAATAAGCACTCAGTAACTGTTAAACTATTACCAGAATTATGGCTCTTTGTATATTTTTATGTGTAGAATGGGTTCTTAAACTTTGTATTAGAAGAGAGAGAGAGAGAGGAAAGAAAGGGTAAATAAAGGAATTACAGAAAACAATACTAAAAGTCATCAAACTACCTTCTAGTTTACATAGAAATTCTATTAGTGGCTTGTTAATAGACTTAGAAATAAAGGTAGCAAAGATCTTAATGAAAAACCATTATAATTTAGAAAAGCTGCACGTCAATTTGTTTACTAATGCAATCATCTTTTGAAAATACTAGCGGAATTTGCTTAAATCCTGCTTTAAATTATCAAATGAAATAACCCTCTTATTTCTTTCATCATCTTTTTAACTTGATCTGTCTGCATTTGGAAGATTAATATAAGAAGTGCAGTCCTTGTGTATGTGCATACACATTTTTCAAACTGATAAACTTGGCTCTAGGCGGATTATTTTGTATTTACTTTGGGATGTGTATAATTTTTTTAATTATTAATGCACCAAATTCCCAAATAGTGTCAACACTTTGGATAGCCAGTAACTTTTTCGGACTAGTACGGTGTGATTTACTCCTTTTGAATTACCTCAGGTCATATTTTCTGTTAAAAGATTTTCATTAAAAAGTATATACCCAAGATGTAGCTCTTAGTTCTGTGGCCTCTAGTGATCTGGGAGTTAAAGTCCGGCTACTATCCTTTACTCAGGAGAGTGGACTGTGGGGGCTTTGAAGGTTTTTTTTTGGTAGGTTTTTGGGTTACACCCAGCAATGCTCAGGGGTTACTCCTGTCTCTGTGCTCAGGAATTACTCCAGGTGAGCTCGGGGGACCATATGGGATGCTGGGAATCGAACCCGAGTCTGCTGTGTGCAAGGCCAATGCCCTACCCGTTGTATTATCTCTCTGGCCCCGGAATTTTAAATTTTGCTAGTATGCATATTCACTGAAAACCTCTCCGTGCATTTTACACTCTCAAAGTTCAGGTAGTACTGACTTGATTGCTTAGCTCCTTCCTGTGACAGGAAGTAGAATCAGATTAGTCAAAGGTCGTGACTGAAAGAGACCTTGGACTTTGGGTACATAGGTCCCTTCATTTTCTATATCAGAGCAAGTTGCTCATAAAAAGTCTTGGGCAAGACCTTGATCTGTTGTCCAGTATGCTGTCCTGCTTTTAGAAACCTTTCATTAAAACATTAAATGCCTCCAGTAGCTTTCTAGAAGCAGGTAGTATGTGAACACAAGGGACTAGCAGAGTTCATATTCTGGAAAGAAACAGCGCAGTCCTGGGGCTAGAAGTGTGGATGCTGGTCTCCAGGAATTGCAGCTCTTGAGGTATTACTGACAGTTGGTGAGTGATTCCACCCTCCCAAGAAAGCGTTAAGCATTTCTTAAGGCCTAGCTAATGTTTTTAACGTGAGTGGATGCTTAGTACTTAGGAACTTCAAATATTAATGTCTCTTAACATTTTCAGGGACTGATTTGCTTGGTGGAATAATACCTGAACTCTGTCAGAAATACCGAGATTTAAATTTTATAATTGGAGGAGAGGGACCAAAGAGAATCATTTTGGAAGAAGTACGGGAAAGATACCAGCTCCATGACAGGTACTGATGGATTGCATATTGTCTTCAGTGAGAAAATGCCAATTATCTATAATAGGTTTTGGTTTCCTGCCTATGTTAAGTGGGATGCCTCTCCTCCATGTACTTAATTCCACCCCCCCCCCCATTATCCCAGTGTTAAGTGACTTGTGGAAGCAGTGGTTGAGGTACACTGGAGATTCCCCGCCCCCAAATCTACTTTGGTTGGAAATATATGCAAGTTTTTTTTTAGCTATACCGTACTGTGATTTAAAAAGCAGGACTTACAGTGGAGTAGCACTACATGTTATGACTCTGGGGACCCCTCGGACTGCTGGTTGTGACCCTGCCCTCGTTTTGCATTGCTGATGTAGCCACGAGACCCCTAAGCACAGGCCTGGTGGACCTGGTACTGTCCGACAACACAGGACCTAAGAAGCATCATGTCCTCACGCCCTAGCACTGAAACCACTGTCCAGTTGGATAAAGCCTACAAGTCACCAGGAGTGGCCCCTGGGACCCCTGAGAATCCCCCCGCTACACCCCCCCCCAAGAAAGTTTGAAAGTCTGTGAAAATTGCCATGCACATACAGATATAAATCTTTCTCTGGTGTGTGATCTTGTGTGTTGCAAACACGGGAAGTGTCAGTTTAAAGGGGCCATTTCCTGTTGAGACGTGACTTTAGCATTTCTTCGTTAAACTCTATTCATGTTTTCATGACATGCAGACAAAGCTTGGAGAAGAGGGAATGTGCTCTTTGATAGAAGTTAGCAATGTTCATGTTTCTGTTTGAACCTAACAGCTTGCCAAGGCACTCTCCTTTGGGTCAGAGTTTGGTAATATTACTCTTTCCAGAGGAGAACACGAGCAGCAACAAGAATTTAAGTATAACCTAAAGAATATGCTTCTCTTATCCATTGTCGTTTCCTTTAGCTTGATCCTTATTCCTTTCTTCTCTCAAACACCAGAGTGCGTCTCTTGGGAGCTTTAGAACACAAGGATGTTAGGAATGTCTTAGTTCAAGGACATATTTTCCTTAATACTTCACTTACTGAAGCATTCTGCATGGCGATTGTGGAAGCCGCCAGTTGTGGTTTACAGGTAAAACGCTTTGAAGTCTTATATGGTTGGGGGTTCTATATGTGAGCTTTGAAAAATAACCTGATACAGTCTGTATTTTTAAATCTGCTTTGCCTTTTGCCCCCGTATTATCATTTCTCATGGATCATGTATTCTTTCTTTTTAAGGTTGTAAGTACGAGGGTCGGTGGAATTCCTGAGGTACTTCCAGAAAATCTTATTATTTTATGTGAGCCTTCTGTAAAATCTTTATGTGAAGGATTGGAAAAAGCTATTTCCCAGCAAAGGTCAGGAACGTTGCCGGATCCACAATATATCCATGACATAGTGAAGACTTTCTATACTTGGAGGAACGTGGCAGAGAGAACTGAAAAAGTATGTCTTATACTAAGAAATGTGCATCAAATTCTTTGTTGTTTCATGTATAATGCTAGAAAGGTTGACCACTTCTGTCCTATTATGTTGATTTAACCTCTTACAAACTAAATTAGATACTGCTGTTGGTACATGGTGCTAAAATGATTCCAGTCAAAATCATTGCATTTGACCTACAACTAGCAGCTATTCAGACTAGACCCTTCAGTAAATTGGGCATAAAGTTGCAAAATTTGCTAGAAGTAATGGTACTCCCGGTCAAACTTACTAAAATTTACTCTGGATATTTATTTTCTGGAGGCTATTTATAATTATGAAGCCAAAAGGTGTCTTACGTGGTTTTGTAGCTTGGTTGTGGCAGCTTTTTAATTTGTAAATATTCATATTTATTTTCGATTCCTCCGCCCCTCTTGGAGAGCCTGGCAAGCTGCCGAGAGTATCCACCCGCATGGCAGATCCTGGCAAGCTATCTGTGACATATTTGATATGCCAAAAACAGTAACAAGTCTCACAATAGAGATGTTACTGGTGCCCGCTTGAGCAAATCGATAAACAATGGGAGGACAGTGCTACAGTGCATATTTATTTTATGCTGCTTCCTAAAACTCTTGGGTCACTTGTATTGTGATTTTCTATAGGAAATGGAGGTTTGTATCTTTTGGTTGGTTGAGAGCCTAAGAAGTTAGAATTCAAAGTGCACATACCAAACAACTTTAAAAAATAATATAAATTTAAAAAAAAACACATAACAAATGTGGGAGGATCTTACACACACAAACACACACAAATACACACACACACAAAGAATAGCAAATTTTTGGAAGGACAGGTACAGAAATTCCCTTAGGTGAGCGAGGACAGGGAAGTGCTTCATAATTTGAATTAGGGGCTTTATTTATCCACTTGATTTTTTTTTTATGTAGAATCCACTCGGTTTTGTCATTTGGTAAGTTCCTCTCATTGTTTTGTCTGCTTCTGGACACTTAGCACTGTACTGCAAACTGGATGGAAATCGTGCTTCTTAGGCTACAGAGATTGTAAACCAGAAAAGCAGTCATTTGGAAGCATGGAAATATATTCATTTTGACCAGTGGTCTTCAACCACCCATGTAGAAAAATGGAAAACCACCGGCCTACCTCTGTGGTTCTACCTACCATGGTTCTACCTGCCAGTCCTCAGACCAGCATGCAGGAAGTTGCCTGTCCTCAGGTGTAAGAAGGTTGAAGAATATTGGTTTAAACTAGTGCTTTTGTATTACTATTGTGTTCCTTCCTAGCCCTAGACCGAGAGGGACATGGAGCTAGTAAATAGAATAACTCTTTACTATGAGGCTTTCTTCCTTGGTTTGAATTGTAAATTCCTATGTATTAAATGATCCTTATTTGGACATAAGAGCATGCTTCAAATGATACTTATTTGGATGTAAGAGTGACAAACTCTTCTAAAATATCATATACGGTACATTTTCTACATTTTCTAAATGTGTCAGACATTGGAGTTGTGACTGAATCATCTAAGATACTCCCATCTGGTCAAAGATGTGCAGTGCCTCCACCATATGAACTAATTCCTTTTCCTTTTCCTTCTGCGGTTGGAGTCTAACGCTGATTATCTCCTGGGATGCATATCACTAGGATGCGTGGCCGTTTTCAGAATCTAGTCATTCCATCTTTCTAGCCTGCTATCCATACGGTCACCCCCTAGGTTCTATTCCTGATGGCCCTCTTTTATTTATTTATTTATTTCTTCTTTGGGGGTCATGCCCATCGATGCTCAAGGGGTTACTCCTGGCTCTGCACTAAGGAACTGCTCTTGGTGATGCTCAGGGGACCATATGGGATGCTAGGGATCGAACATGGGTCAGCTGCGTGCAAGGCAAATGCCCTACCCAGTGTACTATCTCTCCAACCCCACCAATGGCACCCTTTTAGAGGTGTATTTGGGAGTGGTTGACAGGGATGAGTACTTGGATAGTTATTTTTTTTCTTCAGTTATACCCAATCTGTTTTGCTCCATAATTGAGAATCAGAGCTCCATAAGTTGTGTTAGTCAAGGGAGAAATAACTGAATTTTGCAAAGAATAATGGTAGTAGTTAGTCAAAGTATGTCTAAGAAGCTCATTACGATTCCTTTTTAATGAAAAATTTTCTTTTAGTTATGCTTAAAGTAATAGTAGAACTTGGGCATTTTTTTCTTCTATTTTTATAACTCTGATAGTTTATAGCATCCATTCATAAAATTATTAATTCTTGTCTGTAATAGGTAGTCATACCTGTCATTCTTTTAGTAGTTATAAATTGTGATTTTTTTCACTTCAGCTCATGAATTGATTGACCTAGAAATAAATGTAGACAAACTATCATTTTGTAGTTGCTCTAATTCTCATTGTATATGATAGGATATTTTGATCATTTTCAACTCCCCTTTAGTTCAACTATGCTACTTAGAAAATCGATCAAGAAATTAAATTAGAGTTCCTGCTGGAAATATTGTTGACATTTTGTCAGTTTCAGGAAGTGCTGATTAAATTGCATTCTAGTTGTGTTGAGTGTAGAATTGCTGGATGAAATCTTTCAAAGATTATTGGCCTATAGATCTCGCACTATAAATATAACTGTTGAGTTCAAAAGGAGATGGTGGGCCAGTTGATGGCACGGGAGATAAGAAGTTGACCTTGCACAGGACCAACTACAGTTTGATCCGTGGCACCACATCTGGTCCCCTGAGCACCAGCAGGTGTCACTTTTAAGCTGTAGTAAACCACAGGGTGTGACCCACACGCCCCCCCCTCCCCCCAAAACAAAACAAAAAAGGGAGACGGTTCACAAGTCTGATATAAATATATGCACAATGATGTATGTATACAGTCGATATGCAGATGCAGTGAAAAATGTTAAGGGTGGCCTATTTTGTTTCTGAAATATGTCTATTTAAAGAACTTTGTTGTAGTTAATATGGTCAGAGTTCAGCCCTAATGGAGTTTAGAAACCACATCACACACTGCCATTTCTCAGCAAGAAACCTAATTTTGTTTGCCACTATCATACTCGTGTTAAAATTTCCTTGATCTCTCCCCCTTCCTTACCAATCACAAGATGCACTGCAAAGCAAAACAAAACCGAAACTCCACCGGGACCCTTCTCCCCCCAAGCCTCTTGGAACGTAGAGTCCTGACTCTCAGCCTTTCTCCCTCTAGGTGTACGACCGCGTGGCAGGGGAAGACGTGCTACTGATAGAGAAAAGATTGGAAAGACTCATCTCTCACTGCGGCCCAGTAACAGGTTGCATTTTTGCTTTGCTGGCTGTAATCAACTTTCTCTTCCTTATTTTCCTGAGATGGATGACTCCAGACTCCATCATCGATGTTGCAATAGATGCCACAGGGCCAAAGGCCGCCTGGACTAAGAATCCTTGCAGTAAAAAAAGGGAAGAGAATGAGATCTCTAAAACCAGGTAGAAGAACGCCTGGTGACTAAGGTTTTAAAGCATTTGTAACAATTACTAAGTAAGACTGTTGAAAATTAACCTTGCTTTTTGGAAGTTTGTTTTGTTCTTCAAGTTAATTTAGTAAGTTATGCTACCTCTATACCATTCAATATTTTATTTTGAGGAAAGATGACACAAACTTATGCAACTCCTGAGTGTAGAGACTCATTGCACTTATAAAAAAATTTAGGAAAGTCACTCAGGTATGAAATTTTTCAGATTACTGAAATCCCTTTGGCAGAAATGTTTTAACATTTTATTTTGGGAGCTTTGGGTGCTGAAGGCCAAATGTTTTCTGGGCATCTTTTGGCCAGTTTTAAAGGTTCTACCATTGATTAGACATTCACCAGATGTTTACAAATTTTCTTTAGAGAAATACAAATATAAGAACTATTTTTAAGTCGCGTTCATGCACATTTATTAGACATTGAAGTCAGCTTCTTGCACATTTAGTGAATATCCTCAGTAATTGTTACATAAGGTCAGCAGGTTTCCTGAGTCACGTGGTCTCTCAGCTACCAGCATGTTTTAAAAAGCACCAACTGAAATGTAGAACATGGCACTAGGTACTTCCTGCTATAAAGGGCCAGGGGTGCATTGTCTCTGGAGCACTCAAATGGCTCCCTTTCTACTCACAGTTGGCGTGAAATGGTAAAAAAGCCAACATGCCAAAAATGCTCATGCTTTTAATACCAGGAAAAAAAAGTGGCTAGGGTACTTGGAGTACTGATTCTCTGATTCTGTTGTATGCATTTTTGTAAGTAGAGCCATCCTCTTGGGTTGCGTTTTTGAAAACGATGTTTGCTTTTTCAATACTCGGGACCGAAACACTGTTGAAAATAGTACAGAAAAACCCTTCACATCCTTTATGACATAATTTAGTCCTCTGTAAATGCCTTCGTGTTATCCGAGCAGAATGTCCGAGGTGTGCCATCTCCAAATCAGCTGCTACCCTCTACCTTTGATGATAGGAGTCACTTCCCTTCACTTGTGGCCTAGCTCATATCTGATAAGTATTGTCAGTGTGCAAAATCTTTACTCCAGAATGTTCTGTTCGTAGCAGATTGATTTAAAAATTTTTAGGAATTTCTTTGAGAATGGATGTTGTTACCATAATTACTGTTACCCAGAGCCATGGGTTTTTAAACCCCAAGTTATGTACATGATGTGTATTATTCATTCTTTGAACACCTTAGAATATGTTTTTGTGGTAAAGGACTGAAAGCAAACGAGTGAGGCACTGTTGGGTGCACAAAATAGATTCTGGCAGTATTGTAGTTTTGTACAGGGTTTTCTTTTATTGATGACATTTACAAAGCTTTTTAACATGCCTATGAACTTGTTGCCACTGATAAATAATAGGAAATATTTGTGTCTTGTTTAATACCAAAAGGCATATGCAAGAGTATAGTTTTTAAAAATGTGGACCTTAGGGAATCTTTCGTTGAAGGAAAATGGACCAACCCAGATCATTAAACCTTGAGATTCTTAATCCATTGCAACAGACATATAAATATGAAATAAGCAGTGCCAATATTCCTAATTAAATGAAAAAGTTTTATCTGCTCTGTTTACCAAGTTTAAAAATATACTGCATTTCGTTTATTAGCATTTTAAAAAAATTGTCATTAACTTTTTGTGTCTTATTCCAATTGGTCATGGAATTGATTGTTGCTCTTGCATGTAAACCGAGTGATTTGCAAGTTATTTTCCTTGTTTTTCTTTAAACAGATGAAAGTAAATTTGCTTGTTCTGGTAAAAGTCAATTTTCAGGCTTCCTGGATACTAGTTGTAACTGTCAGTGTTGCACTGGTCAATATGTGAAAAACATATTGTTTTCCTGCTACTTATGTGTATCTGAAAGTGAACTTGCAGTGATGAGGAATTTATTGAAAAAACATCTTGTATTTCTTTCAGTGTTTAAAAAGTAGCACAAGTGAAACCGATTTTATGAAACCACACTAATGTTCAAAAATAAAGACCAAAATGACATTTTGACAATTGCCTGTATTGGTCTTGTTTTATAGATTACAGGTTTCCCCCACTTTCAAAAGTGTGCATTACACTCCTTTGCTTTTGCAAGAGATACATGGACTACCTGGGCTTCCTCACTGAAGAAATCAGAAATCAGAAGAGAATTTTCCCTTTTATGACAAAGTGAAAACTGAAAGCATAGATCAGCACTGGTTTTGCAGCAGCCGTTCCAAAGGCAAGGTGCCTCTGAAGCAATAAATTGGCCTTGCCAAATTCCTTTCCTGGAAACTACAGGCTCTGTCTGTTATTTATCCTGCTCTTACTATGTGTGAGTGCTGTTTTAGGTTTGATGGAGCTATTTGATACTATTTGGTAGCCTGTATTTTTGGATCTGGAAATACTAATAATCTTTCACATGTGAATGCTGGTATTTGCTTTTTTGCCACTCGGCTTGTGAAAGAACTCTGCTTTCATCACAACTCTACTTTCAGATAGTGGAAAAACTGGTATCGTTTGCTAGTTGTACAACACTGTTCCCATCCTGTTGTTTCTTACACACTTTTGCGTTGCAATTTGATGTGTTGCTTGGTCTGTTAGGAAAACAGGAAGTATTTTTCAGGTGATGAATTACTCTGTCATTTTCCCATTCTAAATACAGTACCTGTTTCACTCATGGAATAGTGAGTTCAGTTTTGCCTGTTTCCTCACCTAAACACACCCTTGTTTTTCACTGCACTCGACTTAGCACTTGAGACAAAGGAATCATTTTTTAAATCACTGTATATGTGAACTGCATAGTTATGCTTTATAGCTTGCTAGCTATTTTAAGAGAAATGAAATTTTGACTTAATTTAGAACAACACTGCTTCTTCCACTCTTGTATTGGAAGCAGTTGCTATGTTCTGGTAGATCTCAGACCAAAACATTTTTGGCTGAGTCAAGGTATCATGCATCTGTTTACTCTTGTGAAATATTTTAAAAATCCTGTTGACCTCTGTATTCCTTCCAGATAGACGGTTATTAAATTGTATCATCCTGTGGCTGGATTTTTTACATGAAATTCTGAAAATTCAAGTTTTACATGAAATTTGACTTGTATTCAGCAGTACTTTGGGAATTTTTTTTCCTTATGTTTTATTGTTTCTAGTTGACTATGGCTCAGTGGTTCCCCAATGCATATAGCTGTTTGTTTATGAAGGGGCTAGCGGTTTGGTTCCGTCGGGGACATCTGCAATGTCTGGAAATACTTCAGATTGTATTTTTTGGTTTTGGATTTTGGCTTAGATTTTGGGCCACACCCAATGATGCCCAGGGGTTACTCCTGGCTCTGCACTCAGGAATTAACTCCTGTCCGTGCTTGGGGGACCACATGGAATGCTGAGGATCGAACCCTGGATAGCTGTGTGCAAGGCAAATGCCCTACCTGCTGTGCTATCACTTCAGCCTCCACTTCATATTGTTTTTTTTTTCTTTCTGGGTCACACCTGGCGATGCACAGGGGTTACTCCTGGCTCTGCACTCAGGAATTACTCCTGGCGGTGCTTGGGGGACCATATGGGATGCTGGGAATCGAACCCGGGTCAGCCACGTGCAAGGCAAACCCCCCCATCCACTGTGCTATTGCTCCAACCCTTCCACTTCTTATTATTAACGCTGGATGGGAGTTGGGAGTTGCCGTTGAGGAGGTAGAGAGCAGGGTGTTGATACATACAATGCTTTTGGGCAATATCCCAAAGTATCAATCAGCAGTGCAGAGGCTGAGGAAGCCTGTTGCTGTAAGTGATTTCATCTATAAGTGATATCTAGAATTAACTCCTTATGTCTGTCTCAAATGCAATGATCAAATCTAGTAAGGACTGCCTCTAAGAAATAGTATAATATCCATTTGAACCTCTAAAAGGTTAGTCTCATGGCCATCTTTTATGGTACTAAAACATGTAAAGGACAGCCATGTTTTAAGTGAAAAGATCAAAATGAGATCGAGTAGTTTTTATTATAATATATGTCACTGTACTTAGAGGAGTAAATAATCACCCTTAGGGTACAGCTAAACTTGATATTGAAAGAGTTCAAGTATTTGTGTTTGTCTATGAATTTTTACACATTGGCATGGTACCAGGTAGCAGAAGCTTGATAAATGTTCTATATTAATGTATTTTCTCAAAAGTGGAAATAACACAACATATGATGCTGTGAGATCTGGAGATAAATACCTTGTACAGTGGGGCTCAAGGTGTATTCTTCGGCACCATGCTTGGAATAGTACAGGCAACAGTTCTATACAGGTTGTTACTCTGTGTGCCCGAGTATTAGTAGAAACTCCCCTAGTTTTATTTGAAGCATTTATTAAATTCATTTATTCGAGTCCACTGTTTCCTGCATTAACATGGGCCCTACGCAAACAGGATGAGAATGCTATTCGGGTCTCCCAAAGAGGAATTGAAAGAGCTATGCTTGGAGTATCATGTTTCACTCAATCCAGACTTTCGACCTCGACCTCCGTCTACGATCAAGAATCAGGGACGCTGTCTCGTTTGCCAAGGCGTCAAAAATCAGATGGGCTGGACATGTAATGAGATTTAGAGACGACCACTGGACTAGAGCTGTTACCGACTGGATTCCACAGGATGTCAAAAGACCACGTGGCTGCCCACCTACCAGATGGTCAGACTACTTCATCAAGATCATGAACAATCGGTTTGAGACTCTTCGTGTTCCTAGAACAAACAGATGCCATTGGGCTACACTAGCACACGACAGGGACAAATGGAGATGTTACTGGTGCCCGCTTGAGCAAATCGACGATTAATGGGAAGTCAAGTGATTAAATAAGACTTGATTTGCCTTTATAATTTTATTTTGGCCTATCTTTTCCGGCAGATTATAGCTATTGAGAAAAATCAAATAGAGCCACGAATGAAAAAGGAGACCTAGATTTTCCTCACCCAATTTTCCTAGATAAGAAATATTTAAATCAGTTTCAGTTCTGTTGGGCACTTGATAGCATGTTGAACCCAGGATTACAAGTGAATGTGGTGGTCCATCCAGAAAAAGTATTAATTCAGATTACCTTTGGGTACTTCACTAGAGCCTGAAGCATCTTTTTCATCCATTTCGTTAGGAATCTCTCATGATCAAGCATAGCCCACATTTTCCAGGAAGGAATACTATAGTTTCTGACATTCAGAATGTGTGTAAATGATCAAGGACTCTGCTAGGGGTCTTGCCACCAGATGCAACTGTAGCAGTCAGAGTTCTAATGCTTCCTATATGACACTTGCGTTTGGATGTATCCAAGATGAGCCTTTTATTAAATACTGCCTTGGAAGAAGTGCTCTTTAATTGGTCATAGTTTAGATTTGGACTTTAGCTTTTTTACAGATCTCAAGATGAAGAGAAAATGAAATGTCCCAGGGACCAGTTCTTTCTACCAAGCTCCGCGAATGTATTTGCATCGCTTTGTATAAACATCCAATAATGTGCTTTGTCCCCTGAGCTTCTGAGAAGTTCATCATTCCCGATCAACAGCAGAGAAACAAAAATGGGGGCTTAGGGATAAAAACGATTTAGAATCTATCCTATTTGTTAACTAGCATCCGTGGAATGTGAATCGATAACCTTTCAGTATTTCTGGTTAAGGGGAAGTTTCTTGAGTTCGTTTTGACATTGCAGTGAATGTAAGCACATCCAGTCTCTCAATCTTGGTTAGCTCAGAATCTACAAACTTAGTTCTCTGTAACAGGAGCACCGAAGGCTCGAGGTTTTAAATAGATGTCATATGATGCCAATTATAACTCAGTGAAATTTTTCAGTCTGGAGAACCTATACAGAGTGAAAGCCAAAATGGAGGACGGTCCTGTTTTTTTTGGCTTTCAAAACATTTTTCTTACAATGTTTGCTACTTTTTTTTTCTTCAAGCTTTTAATTAAAGTGTTTTTAGCTCTCCTAACCCATTTCTATATCGTCAAAGGAAATAGAAAAGAAGCAGCTAGGATAGCAGAAGAGATCTATGGTGGCGTTACAGGTAAAAATACATGAATCTAATCACAGTACTTAAAAATCTCTGAGATGATGAATATACGTTGTATTTCTGGTAGGCAGGTTTTATTTATGCTTCGGTTTTGAGTGGAGAGTTTTAAAAGTGTATCTGGCAACTCCAATAATGTTAACTACACCAATATGTGAAGCATTTTCACTTTTAAGTTTTGCATGATCTGTTATTATGTAAGAAGTGATTTGAGTAATGATTTTATTCTAAGTGTATATTTAAAAACCTCAGTTCTCCTGATCGAAGTAATTACTTACAGAGGATTATTTTCTTGAGTGTTTTAATCAAACTTTTGATAGTGTGTTCTAACAAGATTAAGTTTCCCCAGGAACTAGAATGCTGATTATGTTTGAGTCAAAGCGACTGTTATAGTTACTGCATGTATTTGAGACTGTCATTTGCAGTTCAAATTGATTAGCCATTTGTCACTGTCAGGAAAAACCCTCCACTAAACCCATCTGTGCAGCTTCGTGCAAAGTCCTATGAAGGTTATTTTACGGGATGCGATTGGGGTAAAACACCAAAGTCTCATGTCTTGTAGAAATTAGTCTTTGTTTTTATCAAGGAAGTCTTCACCTTCATTGTAATGAGATGCTGGGAAAGTAAATGAACCAAAAATGTCCTTGTCGTTTGTGGGATCGTGACTTGATACTTGAATTTTTACTCATCTACAGAGTTCAAAATTTCCCTCCATATTTTTGGTGTTCAGAGGGGTTCCAGGATGACATCATTCTTTAGTATCCATTTCAATTTACACCCATAGTTCTCCTTCAAAAGAGACTTAGGCTGTGCGATTCCAGTGCACTACACAACTTTGTGAACTAGATGACAGCAGTCTTATCCAAACAAACAAGACTTCCAAAGTCGAAGCGTCAGAATGCTTCAACTAACGGGGGGAAATGAGAAGAATCTTGAAATTGCAGAAAGTGCCAGCAGGCCTGGACTGTGGAAGGTTT